ACATAGATGGCAGTATAGAGACGGGTTCCGATAGATATTGATGGCATTATGGTGACAGGTTCAGACGGACATAGTTGGCAGTATAGAGACAGGTTCAGATGGACATTGATGACATTATAGAGACAGGTTCAGGCTGACATTGATGGCAATATAGCGACAGGTTCAGACAGACATGGATTGCAGTATAGTGACAGGTTCAGACGGACATTGATGCCAGTATAGTGATAGGTTCAGATGGAAAATAATGACAGTATAGAGACAGGTTCAGACGGACATTGATGACAGTATAGTGACAGGATCAGTCGGACATTGATGGCAGTATAGCGACAGGTTCAGACAGACATGGATTGCAGTATAGTGACAGGTTCAAACGGACATTGATGGCAGTATAGTGAAAGGTTCAGATGGACATTGATGGTTGTATAGTGACAGGTTCAGACAGATATTGATGGCTGTATAGTGACAGGTTCAGGCGGACATGGATGGCAGTATAGAGACAGACGCCGACAGATGTTGTAATAGTCCGGTGACATTAGAGTGCTACTGTTGGGTTCATGACAATAAAGTGGTGATTTAGACGAGAAACATTGATGACAGAAAAGCTTGTACTGATTTATGGAGAACGACAAACATCAGGAGAGAAGTTATACTTGATTTATTGTGCATGGCAACCATATAGCAGCGAAGAAATATCTGCAGTTTTTACTTTTTTTTCAAAAACGGTGTTACAGGTAAGGCAAGTAATAAGCCAATATGATCGGATCCATTCCTAAATCCTATTGGGGCCCATGAAAGAGGAAATTTAAAGACTGAGTAGAATCAACACCAGCGAATGCTACCAAGTTTAAATTGTGGAAACTGGTGCCTATAAGCAGTCTCTGGACCGTTTTATAGTAGATAAAAAGTCTTATGCAAGGCCAATTAATGCGATTAGAATAACTTCTGCCTACAATCTCAGGGGAGCCTAACTTTTCCTCGACAACAAGAAAATTGATCTCTGCCGCTGGGCTTTCACAAACAGGTTTTCCTTACTTAGCAAGTGTGTTCTTAAATTTCAGATATTTTTTTCTTTGAATAAACACGAACATTTATTATGACTTAAAATGAAATTTAAACAAAACTGCAGCATAAAATATTTTTTTAATTTGTTTCAAAAATGATTTAATTTAAGAGTATTTCCATACAATGTCTTAGTTTATAAGATAAGATTGGTGTGCCATTGCGAATTTGCTGGTGTCACCCACTCTGTTCCCTTAAACGAGAGACAGTAGAACCAAAGACTCGTCTGCACTTGTTGTTTCTGTTGTTTTGGTAAAAACTCCTATATTTACATCGTAAATCATTTTTATTTCATCTCTAAAAAACTGTTATATCAGAAAACTCGCATTATGGCGGCTTACGTAAAAGTGACGTCGGAGAATAATCAGTATTTTTGCACGGGTATGTATCATAGTTTTTGGACCGATCGTAGCAACCGCCTTGACAACAACGTGTACTTCCATAGGCAATGCTTGGCAATATATGTCCAAAAACTGCAAAATATACTTTGTGATAGTAATCTAAGCGATCTTTCAAAATTAAGTTCAGTTTGTCCATTTTAAATACTTTTATTTGGAAGATTTGCCGGTGACGGGTATAGGAAAGGAGTAAAAACGGTTTATCCGTCAACATCATATTGGTTGCCGAACCGTATTGATTTAAAATCGGTCCACCGAACGTTGAAATTAATTTTGGGGAATTTCAGACATTAAAGATATTTCAACAGCTTGTTAGAGACGATTCGATGCAGGTCATTGACTGGATTTATCGGAATTAGTTACAATTGCTTTTTAGTCACAGCAGACGATACGGTTTTTTTTCTCTCCGAAAACGACCTGTTATAGAATTGTAATGAGGAATCATTCAGATTTGTAGAGTTATGAAAAGGACGCGTTTAGTTCATGATTTGCCAATCTCGTAGTTAGTTATTTTCACGGATTCAAACGACAGGGTAAATTTCCGGGAATTCTTGTGAACATTGTGCACATTATGATCCGCCTTACGGAATTACCACTGGAACTTCAATTCTCGCAGCACGCAATTGGAACTGTCGGCAGGTCGAATGAATTAAAGACATCTTTTCAAGCTTTCATGTGGAAATAAAATCAGACTAAGTCTTAAAATATTAAAATACATTGAACAAACATATACGTTATATGGTTTGAAACGCATGTTGCCAAAATATAGAAGTTGAAGAAAGATTCAAATAAAAGCTCGGGAATTTTCGACACTTTCCGTGAACGAGAAATACATCGTCTCTTAAACGGAAGCAGCGGAAAGTGCCGATTTGGTGTTAAACCTGCCCGCTTCTTAAATCTATTACAACTGCGTTATTTGGATATTTGTTTTAATCTAATTATACTTGAACTAACTGAATGTTTAGGAATTGCCCAGAAAATACCTATATGACACAAAAATAGAATAAATTTTGGTCGAAAGAAGTTTTTTTTTTTTTTTTTTCAAAGAAAATAGCAATTTATGTTATAATGGTCAGCCATACAGTAGTGTCATCTTTATCAAACGGTCCGTCATCTTGTAGTGAATTATTTCCGTGAAAATCGCCCTTTAAGCAATCAAAGCATATAATTCTGATATATTCTCAGTACTTCCGTGTTCAGGAAATAATCTTAGTGATAGGCCTTATGCTGTAGGTCCTCTTTTCTTCTTCTTTCAATGCGTGTGATCTACCTATGTTTCACGGTGGTGTAATTGAACCTGTTACGGTGTCCTGTGCTGGCGATACACAGGGCGGGTGGCTTAGGTTGGTTGATGGCACGAACTTGTTTCGGTACCTGATGATGGTGAGAGAGTCAAAGAGGCGATACACAGGGCGGGTGGCTTAGGTTGGTTGGTGGCACGAACTTGTTTCGGTACCTGATGATGGTGAGGGAGTCAAAAGCGAGTCAAAAGAACCTGATACAGTACCCGGTAATGGGAATACACGATAAGGGAGTCAGTGAAATTGTTACAATTATCTTCAAATAAAACAAATAACAGAGAGATCTCCATCCATGAGAGGTGAAAGTTCATAAAGTTGACAACAATTTGTCACTAACAAAGCGCTATATGAATAGGCAATACGTCTCTTAATTTGACCAACAACGTCCAAATCAAGAAAACAATTCAAACATGCAGATGATATCACAGACTTGAAAAAATATGAACTTATCGTGAAATATAATGATGGATACGGTACACCAAATTCAGCATGTCATCAACGAGTCGTTTATCACACAAACTGATGACGTCACTTCTACAACTTCCATGTCGATTATCCTAGCCCTGGATTAGATACAAGTAAGGTGATACCAATTTAAAATACATCCCCATATCACGCTAACAAATTATATTCAGGTAATGGGAGACGGGATACTTGTGTATACCTACCCGTGGGACGGGGTGCCTACATTTTTTTCGAGGTTTGCAGGAGGCAGGAGCAGGACATTTGTACATACGTACCTATAGGAGGAACAGGATACCAGCAGTTAATCTGGCGTTGAATGCACAATGGAAAAAGTGCCACGTGTTTCCGTTTCTCTTCGAAATGATTGCAGAACTTCCTTATCGCATTGGATCGCCAACATTCTTCTTACTAGAACCAGGAGGCTTCCATAAGGATCTTCGTTTGACCTGACGCGGGACTGTTCTGCAGTGGCGACAGGGGAAAGGACATGTACAGACATATAGACAGACATATTCGCTAAAATAAATTATTGTTTTAAGACATTAGCATACAATACTTATCCATATCAAATCGGTTCGCGCTTGGCATAATGTCACCATTTCTCTTACGATGAAGAAATAAATAATTCATTCGGTACATCCTGTTCGGACTCCACACTAAATAGATAAAGAACGTAGGAAGTTAAAACGAAATACTTCTATCCTTTCAAGAGCAGTATACATGTATTTACAAACTTAGAATCGTTTTTGATACATATTGAATAAAAAATGGCCAAATGACCACATACATTACCACGTAAGGTCCCGATAATCAGTATTACCACGATTATCAAGAACAGTCTGATATCCATCGTGGTAATCCAGTATCTAAAAATAACTATTTTTAGTGGAGATACCAATCACCTCCGCCCTGGCCGACTGCTTGGCAACATAGCAACATGTGACGTCACAGATGGGTTAACGTATTTTGTACATCATGACGTCACACTGTTGTCCCATTGTGGGGAATGCATTTGCTATGTACAATATGCTTCCTGTGTTGCGGTTGCAGTATATGACATTTAAAACATTAATTAACTGATGGTTTAACATTTTCTCTCTGATTATATTGTTAATCAAGATTATGTTGAAAAAAGAAACCAAATTGATGCTATGTCAAATGTAAACAAATCAATATAATCTATTTAATGATATATTTTTATACAAGGAACCCAGAATGACAAGACCGTTACCACCCGGCCACTTCCCAGTGATGATGATGATGATGATGATGATGATGATGACAATGATGATGGTGATGATATAACACACAAGTACTTATGGGTGTATATGATTGTGTGTCTTGCTTAATGTATATATTGAAAACACACTTCAGCAGTTAAACCATAAATCAGGCAGTTCACTTTGTGTATCTTCACGATCAACTTTTAGGCATTGTATATCTTTCCCTTTAACACAAATTCCGGAGGACCAATAGGGTTTGGTATACTGAAATGTTTTAAGTATACGAACTACACAGTGATATGGACAATGCTGTGACACAAAAATGAATGTTTTCAAGTGCACTTAACGTAAACAAGAAATAAACAACAATAAAAAACAAGAAACAAGAAAAAAACTGTATAGACTTCAGCAAATAGTACGAACGGTGTTATTAATATCACGTGACGTTAACAATTACACCACGTGACGTTAACAATCATACCACGTGGTACAAATACGTTGCGATCTACTGTATGAAGTCACCAGGAAGACTGCCATGGCGACAGCAGTCTGAGATGGCCGAGGACTTGGTGTCGTCCTTGCCTGTTGCACCATATAATTCATTCTATTTGAACAACTATTCTTCAAACCTTACCCAAGACCGGATACTGCCTTACAAGGTAACTACTTCATTGCTAATGACGCTGTCAAATAGGACTGTCGTTTAATGATTGAACAATAAGATGTATGGTGATAAAATTTGATATGCAGTTTCATCTTGCAACTGGCCCCACCATTGTTAGAATACACCTGTCAAATATATTTTTTGCTACATATATCTTTTTATTCGTAAGTGTTGGAAAACACCTGTATTTAGCACGTGCATTAATTCTGTAGACTGATTTACTTAAATATTTCATTTAAAAGTATAACTATTTAAATGAACGATTTTATTTGTCGTGACAAAGACGTATTTACGAAAATTCATATTATATATATCAATGAAGAGTAGTGTTATGTTCCACTCGGAGAATTCAGGTAAAGCGAGACAGAAAAACAGAACTGTTGCAGCTTTGACAGTCTCAATTTTCAATCAGTGTTGCAGGATAAGTAGAATGTATGATCCGTGTCTTAAAACTTGAACTATATTCTGACCAAAATACTACACATATTTTAAGACACTTGCCATGCGATATGTTGGTCTGAATAAACAGCAGCTGTCTGTGAAAGTCGCTATCCGATATCTACCGATTTTTTCATACTTATGTACACGTGAAATATGACAGTGTTAACACAAATGGGATTTCATTTCAGCAATTTTTATTGCACAAAATTGCACGAAAGGATTAAACGAGAGGCATTGCCAATAATAGTGTTTTCCTGGGATCCAATTAGGTGAAGTCGCATCTGATTGGTCAATTCAATTGCTAGATTCAAAATATATGGTATTTTAAAACTAAAAGCAGTACCTACTGTATTGTCTTTACTAGGTAGTAGGATGGGGGACTGTTAATGTTCAGGTCAAATAATTCTTAGTTTGATAGTCTTTACTGTGTTATAGGGAATATTTTGGTTCACGTACCAGAGAAATATCACGAAAAATTGTTGTGTTGGTGAAAACTGACATCCACAGGTATCGTCAAGTTTGAAGTGCAACTCACAAGAAGAGCAGGTTTTGACGGTATGTGACAAAGATGCAGTTGTACGGATAATTTTATGTGCAATATAAAAAGTTCTGTCATTATCGTTCAACTGATTGTATGCGTTACAATAATAAAAAAATGATGGTGGACTTAAACTACTGCTTACAGACCAATCACCATGTTAAGTGTAATTCTAGATACTACCTACACTGTATTAAGGGTGAAGGAGTGCCCAAGTATCCGACCAATGAATACACGAGTAATGAACAGCCAGGCAATAAAACGAATTAGCTTATGTCTATGAAATAATTTGGAGAAATACTTGCATTGAGAACCCATTGTAGTATTGCTCATTGGAGAAAAAAGTACGTTTTGCTAATTAGAAAAAAAAATGTTGACAAGAAAAATGTCACATGTCATGTGACCTGACAACAAAGGGTAGAACACGGGTGACTTTAGATTAAGGTTCCATAACCCCGGGGATGGGTTCAAGTCTTACCAGCAATATATTGACAGCTTACTAAAAGCTGTTTGAAGCACATTTAAACATATTCGATTGAAACATAGAATATATTTACGAATACTGGAGATTTAGACACAGCACACCAAGGCGACAAAATGCTAGGCCAAGTAGGAAATTCAACAACTTTATATCAAAGATGAACCTTCCAATTTCCAGCTGTGTCTGGTGTACACTGACTACCTACCGCCGATATGTGAGCGTATAACATGATGCATGATTTTTATTGTGTTACAAAGCACATATGGCTCTGTGGACTAATGACTTCAGTGAGATTCCCCCACTTTACGCCTTTCATCTTTGCTCCTAATTAAGCTACGCGAACTGCCTATGGTACATTTCCAGCTGATAATGAGACAGTCTGAAATTGACATTTTCTACTTTCTAACGTTCTGTTCTGATGTTTCAGAAAGAGTTATCTTATGTAAAGGTACAGAAACTCTGCCTCTACATTTAATAGAATTAGCCCGGAACCATGTCGATAACTAACGGTGACGTCCCTTTTTTCTAGTCTTTAATTACTACATGGTATATCTGTACAATTTGTAGTAATCCGCACAGCTAGGTTTAACCCTACACCATCTCACAACACCTGCGTCAACTACCACTGTTCTTAATCATTCAAAATGTTTTAAATTTATCTTGTTATCGAAACTTTCTAATACTGGAGCCATTTAGAATAGCACGTTCATAGTACAAACCAGTTATTAATATAGTGAAAAGCACGGGCAATTTTTAAGACTTACATTTAAAACGTAACGAAAACAAATGCACTATGGAACTGTATTGTGTCGTGGAAATCTACAAATAGGATATATCTTATTTGACATCACTGAAGGAATATGACAAAGTGACCCTACTAGACATTAATTACCAGCCAACTTACTATAAAGGATACGACAACGTGACCCTACTAGACATTAATCACCAGCCTATTTACTATAAAGGATACGACAAAGTGACTTTACTAGACATTAATTACCAGCCTACTTACTATAAAGGATACGACAAAGTGACCTTACTAGACATTAATTACCAACCTACTTACTATAAAGGATTCGACAAAGTGACCCTACTAGACATTAATCACCAGCCTACTTACTATAAAGGATACGACAAAGTGACCTTACTAGACATTAATTACCAGCCAACTTACTATAAAGGATACGACAACGTGACCCTACTAGACATTAATCACCAGCCTACTTACTATAAAGGATACGACAAAGTGACCCTACTGGACATTAACCACCAGCCTATTTACTATAAAGGATACGACAAAGTGACCCTACTAGACATTAAACACCAGCCTACTTACTATAAAGGATACGACAAAGTGACCCTACTAAACTTCTGTTTATTGTAGGCGCTCTGATTAGTGCTATTTTCGATGATGGGACAAAAAATAATGAACGAATTAAGAAAACTAGCATCAACTACATGACCACTCAGACAAAGTCATCTCCATTTTGCATAAATGTATCGATTCTAGTTAACTGAAGTGGAATAGAATGTCTGTTAAAGGCATTTGTGGTGTTAAACAATTCATATCAACTGCCATTCCAATGTCAGTTGTGTCATTAAGACAAATGCGAGTGCGTCCCTAAAGACGATATTGAAATATATTATACATCTTTGTCTATGATATATATTGTAGATTCTACAAAACCCACACGATAGGATCGAGCCTTTCAAAAACAAATTTAGAATTATAGGTGTATTGGAGCACAATAATGATTTTAAACTGCGTCATATAGCTGTTTCGTCCCTCTAGGACTCGTCATTGATGACATGGATCTAAAATTGCTGAAATCAAGTAGGGGATTGGGGTCGAAACAATTGTCAAACCAATAGGGAGAGATGTACAGTGATATATTTAGGGTGTGAACAATATCATTAACAGGTGCGATAAACCGAAAAATCATCGGAGTTCTTAAGTTTCAATATTACTCGATTTTCAAAGTACATGCTTATATTCTGATCCATGCCGCTATTCGAATGAATGCAGGTTACAAGTCAGTTACACCATATCGGCCGAAACTGCATCGGAACTGCAGGGTCGAAGCCCCGGCAGGGAATTAGGGGAGAGAGAGGGGGGGGGGGAGAGAGAGAGAGAGAGAGAGAGAGAGAGAGAGAGAGAGAGAGGTGGAGGGGGAGGAGGGGGGAGTGAAACCACACTCAACCCCACGAAAAGCTGGTAAAAATCAGGATGATTGTAAGAACTTGTTTTCTGAAATGATATGTATGGACCAGCGTATTTGCGTAAAAATGATTACGCGCCTGGAAACCAGTCGTCCGCCAATGATATACTTCAAAACAAAATAACTTCAATTGCTATTTCTTGCGAAGAGGTCTAGATGTTATTCTATTCATATATAGATTTTCCATGTCCGCAGGTATGCAAGTTCAATTCTAAAACTGCGTCATAGTTAAGATAAAATCGTTTTTTTGATATTGAGAGAAAAGGCTTTCTGCCGCTATTTCTTGAGAGAAATGGATGAATCCTTTTCGCAAATTTCGTACGTATTTGATTCATAGGGAGGTAGGCAATATCACGCTGTTCTGAAGCACATATGTAGACATATAGAATACTATTCATTATAGGGAGATAGGTAATATCACGCCGTGATGAAGCAGGATATCCTATGTAGACATATAGGAGCAGACTGTTCTTTATAGGGAGGTAGGCAATATCACGCCGTTCTGAAGCAGGGTGTCCTATTTATACATATAGGAGCAGAAGTTTCTTTATAGGGAGGTAGGTAATATCACGCTGTTCTGAAGCAGGACATCCTATGTAGACATACAGGAGCAGACTGTTCTTTATAGGGAGGTAGGTAATATCACGCTGTTCTGAAGCAGGATATCCTATCTAGACATACAGGAGCAGACTGTTTTTTATAGGGAGGTAGGTAATATCACGCTGTTCTGAAGCAGGATATCCTATGTCGACATACAGGAGCAGGTTGTTCTTTATAGGGAGGTAGGTGATATCACGCCGTGATGAAGCAGGATATCTTATTTAGACATACAGGAGCAGGCTGTTCTTTATAGGGAGGTAGGTAATATCACGCCGTTCTGAAGCAGGGTGTCCTATGTATACATAGAGGGGCAGACTGTTCTTTATAGAGAGGTAGGTAATATCACGCTGTTCTGAAGCAGGATATCTTATGTATACATATAGGGGCAGGCTGTTCTTTATAGGGAGGTAAGTAATATCACACTGTTCTGAACCACATATGTAGCCATATAGAAGACTGTTCTTTATAGGGAGGTAGGTAATATCACGCCGTTCTGAAGCAGGGTATCTGATGTAGACATACAGGAGCAGACTGTTCTTTATAGGGAGGTAGGTAATATCACGCCGTTCTGAAGCAGGGTATCTGATGTAGACATACAGGAGCAGACTGTTCTTTATAGGGAGGTAGGTAATATCACGCCGTTCTGAAGCAGGATATCCTATGTAGACATACAGGAGCAGACTGTTCTTTATAGGGAGGTAGGTAATATCACGCCGTTCTGAAGCAGGGTATCTGATGTAGACAGATAGGAGTAGATTGTTCTTTATAAGGAAAGTTTGTTGACGCTGAATCATACCAATAGACGTTGAGCCTGGAGAATACGATCCATCACCGTTATTTTGACAGATATGTTAAAGAATATTGTTTACTACAAAATGAACGTAATGGGATCCCTGGGAAAATGGTGGAGGTTTATGAAACACTTGCCATTATTACATAATAACTCAACAAAAGAAAATCAAAACCACGCTTCACTCCAATCAATCTTGATGCCAAAGGACGAACTCAGTCACCATTCTTTATCCTTAAGTATAACATAACGACATTTAAAAATTTTCATCACCAAAGTACACGAAGCATAGAGAATGGAAAGGAAATGAGAAACTGGAAACAAATAAGGAGGTGTTATTTACGAAACTACGGCTGGAACATTCATATACAAATGTTTAGTCATGACGTCATCTCCTGTACAGGAGACATTTGTAAAGGGTGCAATAACAACACCTCGCCAAGAACACTAGTGTCGGATTTCCATCGATTCAGAAGATATTTCACAAACTAAGACATACAGGCGAAAACTGTGATCGTATTTTGTGGTTAATCACTGTTATTTTCCTATATATAACATTCGAGTAAAGAAGAAACGCCATGACGTCACAAAAGAACGTAATTGCTATTTCCGAATGAAAATGATGGGAAAGCAACGGGAGAAAATATTACAAAACTCTGGTCAGCAATTACAGACTGTAGAATACTAATGATAAAATCCCATTGTCAACAATGATAAAATCCCATTGTCAACATGTTCTAACTGTAAAATGCTAATGATAAAATCCCATTGTCACTAATGATAAAATCCCATTGTCAACAATTTCTTACTGTAAAATACTAATGATAAAATCCCATTGTCAACATTTTCTTACTGTAAAATACTAATGATAAAATCCCATTGTCAACAATTTCTTACTGTAAAATACTAATGATAAAATCCCATTGTCAACATTTTCTTACTGTAAAATACTAATAATAAAATCCCATTGTCAACATTTTCTTACTGTAAAATACTAATGATAAAATCCCATTGTCAACAATTTCTTACTGTAAAATACTAATGATAAAATCCCATTGTCAACATTTTCTTACTGTAAAATACTAATAATAAAATCCCATTGTCAACATTTTCTTACTGTAAAATACTAATGATAAAATCCCATTGTCAACAATTTCTTACTGTTAAATACTAATGATAAAATCCCATTGTCAACATTTCTTACTGTAAAATACTAATGATAAAATCCCATTGTCCACATTTTCTTACTGTAAAATACTAATGCTAATAGAATCCCATTGTCAACATTCTTACTGTAAAATACTAATGATAAAATCCCATTGTCAACATTCTTACTGTTAAATACTAATGATAAAATCCCATTGTCAACATTCTTACTGTCGAATACTAATGATAAAATCCTATTGTCAACATTTTCTTACTGTAAAATACTAATGATAAAATCCCATTGTCAACATTTCTTATTGTTAAATACTAATGATAAAATCCCATTGTCAACAATTTCTTACTGTCGAATACTAATGATAAAATCCCATTGTCAACAATTTCTTACTGTTAAATACTAATGATAAAATCCCATTGTCAACATTTTCTTACTGTTAAATACTAATGATAAAATCCCATTGTCAACATTTTCTTACTGTAAAATACTAATGGTAGAATCCCATTGTCAACAATTTCTTACTGTTAAATACTAATGATAAAATCCCATTGTCAACATTTTCTTACTGTTAAATACTAATGATAAAATCCCATTGTCAACATTCTTACTGTAGAATACTAATGATAAAATCCCATTGTCAACATTCTTACTGTAAAATACTAATGATAAAATCCCATTGTCAACATTCTTACTGTAGAATACTAATGATAAAATCCCATTGTCAACATGTTCTAACTGTAAAATGCTAATGATAAAATCCCATTGTCAACATGTTCTAACTGTAAAATGCTAATGATAAAATCCCATTGTCAACATGTTCTAACTGTAAAATGCTAATGATAAAATCCCATTGTCAACAATTTCTTACTGTAGAATACTAATGATAAAATCCCATTGTCAACAATTTCTTACTGTAGAATACTAATGATAAAATCCCATTGTCAACATTCTTACTGTAGAATGCTAATGCTAAAATCCCATTGTCAACATTTCTTACTGTAGAATACTAATGATAAAATCCCATTGTCAACAATTTCTTACTGTAGAATACTAATGATAAAATCCCATTGTCAACATGTTCTAACTGTAAAATGCTAATGATAAAATCCCATTGTCAACAATTTCTTACTGTAGAATACTAATGATAAAATCCCATTGTCAACATTCTTACTGTAGAATACTTGATGATAAAATCCCATTGTCAACATGTTCTAACTGTAAAATGCTAATGCTAAAATCCCATTGTCAACAATTCCTTACTGTAGAATACTAATGATAAAATCCCAAACTTTTTCCTTTTTTTTTGTGAACTTTTTATGAAAAGCACACAACCTTTTTTATCTATAGATAAGGAAATGCGTGAATTGGAATATTCGAAATTCCAAGAATGCGTTGGTCGGTAGGAAAGCAATACAATGATCTATTGTCCGACAGTAAAAATGTGAATCTTAGAACATACGTATTGTCTGAAATATAAGAGAATTGATCGAATTGTGAGTTGTGATAAACACTGGTATGAATTAAATGATAAATGAATTGTCTGTAAGAGAAAATTGTCCTGTTCGGTAAATAGATAGTTTGGTGAATTATATTTTGTACAGAGCTTTTGTTCATTTCGTCGTTTTTTTAGCCACCACTTCCTCAATCACCACATGGCGGAACAGACGTATGGCAGGTATTCTGTCGGCTTGCAGACCCCAAACAGCCCGTGTCCCTCATTAGACAACACTACCTAGACAGAACGGGTCCTTCCTACACGTGCACGATCGCAGGTAAAAGCCATGATATGATCGGAGTTGAGTTGATGGCAGACGAGATGCTCCGTCCAAACCACCCCTAATCACCGTCTCTAATCACCATGGTAATGTCTGTTTAATGGTGGTTTAGTAATCAGATGAGATATTCTGTCTTAACCACCCCTAATCACCATGGTGATGTCTGTTTAATGGTGTTTTAGTAATCAGACAAGATATTCCGTCCAAATCTTCCCTTAATCACCATGGTGATGTCTGTTTAATGGTGTATTAGAATTCAGACAAGATGTTCCGTCCAGACATACCTCATCACTATGGTGATGTCTGTTAAATGGTGTTTTAGTATTCAGACGAGATGTTCTGTCCAAACCTCCCCTAATCACCATGGTGATGTCTGTTTAATGGTGTTTTAGTATTCAGACGAGATGTTCCGTCCAAACCTCCCCTTATCACCATTGTGATGTCTGTTTAATGGTGTTTTAGTATTCATATGAGATATTCTGTCTTAACCACCCCTAATCACCATGGTGATGTCTGTTTAATGGTGTTTTAGTATTCATATGAGATATTCTGTCTTAACCACCCCTAATCACCATGGTGGTGTCTGTTTAATGGTGTTTTAGTATTCAGACGAGATGTTCCGTCCAAACCACCCCTAATCACCATGGTGATGTCTGTTTAATAGTGTTTTAGTATTCAGATGAGATATTCTATCCAAACCACCCTTCATCACCATGGTGATGGCTGTTTAATGGTGTTTTAGTATTCAGACGAGATGTTCCGTCCAAACATACCTCATCACCATGGTGATGTCTGTTTAATGGTGTTTTAGTATTCAGACGAGATGTTCCATCCAAACCTCCCCTAATCACCATGGTGATGTCTGTTTAATGGTGTTTTAGTATTCAGATGAGATATTCCATCCAAACCACCCTTCATCACCATGGTGATGTCTGTTTAATGGTGTTTTAGTATCCAGACGAGATGTTCCGTCCAAATTTCCCCTAATCACCATGGTGATGTCTGTTTAATGGTGTTTTAGTATTCAGACGAGATATTCCATCCAAACCACCCTTCATCACCATGGTGATGTCTGTTTAATGGTGTTTTAGTATCCAGACGAAATGTTCCATCCAAACCTCCCCTAATCACCATGGTGATGTCTGTTTAATGGTGTTTTAGTATTCAGACGAGATGTTCCATCCAAAGTTCCCCTAATCACCATGGTGATGTCTGTTTAATGGTGTTTTAGTATTAATATGAGATATTCTGTCCAAACCTCCCCTAATCACCATGGTGATGTCTGTTTAAGGATGTTTTAGTATTCAGATGAGATATTCCATCCAAACCACCCTTCATCACCATGGTGATGTCTGTTTAATTGTGTTTTAGTATCCAGACGAGATGTTCCGTCCAAACTTCCCCTAATCACCATGGTGATGTCTGTTTAATGGTGTTTTAGTATTCATATGAGATATTCTGTCTTAACCACCCCTAATCACCATGGTGATGTCTGTTTAATGGTGTTTAAGTATTATGAGATATTCTGTCCAAACCTCCCCTAATCACCATGGTGATGTCTGTTTAATGGTGTTTTAGTATTCAGACGAGATGTTCCGTCCAAACTTCCCCTAATCACCATGGTGATGTCTGTTTAATGGTGTTTTAGTATTCATATGAGATATTCTGTCTTAACCACCCCTAATCACCATGGTGATGTCTGTTTAATGGTGTTTTAGTATTATGAGATATTCTGTCCAAACCTCCCCTAATCACCATGGTGATGTCTGTTTAATGGTGTTTTAGTATTCAGACGAGATGTTCCGTTCAAACATACCTAATCACCATGGTGATGTCTGTTTAATGGTGTTTTAGTATTCAGACGAGATGTTCCGTCCAAACCACCCCTAATCACCATGGTGATGTCTGTTTAATGGTGTATTAGAATTCAGACAAGATGTTCCGTCCAGACATACCTAATCACCATGGTGATGTCTGTTTAATGGTGTTTTAGTATTCAGACGAGATGTTCCGTCCAAACATACCTCATCACCATGGTGATGTCTGTTTAATGGTGTTTTAGTATTCAGACGAGATGTTCCGTCCAAACCACCCCTAATCACCATGGTGATGTCTGTTTAATGGTGTTTTAGTATTCAGACGAGATGTTCCGTCCAAACCACCCCTAATCACCATGGTGATGTCTGTTTAATGGTGTTTTAGTATTCAGACGAGATGTTCCGTCCAAACCACCCCTAATCACCATGGTGATGTCTGTTTAATAGTGTTTTAGTATTCATATGAGATATGCCTCTAAGCTTATGTAAATCGTCGTCCTTGTGTTTTGCAAAACTGCGAGCAAGTTGAGATTTATATCTATTTTGGAATGTTTAATTAATTTACTTTTATTGTTTCTATTTTGATCTAGGATATCTCTATGTTATTACTCTGTTATATGAAACATTAAGAAACACATTTACAATTCTCTGTAGTTTCCATCTCTTTAATTGTTATATGATGTTTAAGTCGTGTTTGGTCTCTGCTTTCAGTACAGTACTGGATTATATCTATCAAATTATAAATCTTCTGCAGAACATATTTATCCACATTCAGGGACGGTCCTTTGTCACAATAACAATGTCAGCGAGGTAAGCGTGAACATTTCTGTTTCATGGGCATACATTCTCCACTGCTTCCGTTTTCATTGGCACAGATCCTCCGATATCTCAATTAACTAAAAAATCCGCGGCACGTTGCATGTGCTACGAGAACGTCATCCACTTTGTGAGACAGGTGTGTTGTAAAAGTGCCACCAATTCGTTTGCACCGAAGGACAAGAAACAATTACCGGCCAGGTAAGTAGTAGTCACCTTTAGGTAGGTCACTTCTGGTCACCTGAAGATAGGTCACTTCTTGTCACCTGAAGGTCACTAACATTCCGAGTAAATTACCGATACTGTGTTCGTTTGTTTTTGTGATGTTTATCAACCTATAAATAGTCAGTGTCATTTTGAGGCGGGGCCTCCTTGTACTTGCTAGTGGCTACCTCGCTGAACACCATACAGGAGGTCCATCTGATCCCATTCAAAGCAACTAGAGTACAGTTGTAGTTGTTTACTGATAAGTAATCAGTTGTCACGTACAGGTAATTCATCAACAATCACACACAGGTAATTCATCAATAGTCACACACAGGTAATTCATCTATAATCACACACAGGTAATTTATCAATAATCACACACAGGTAATTCATCAATAATCACACACAGGTAAGTCATCAAAAGTTACATGCAGGTAAGTCATAAAAAGTTACATACAGGTAAGTCATTAATAGTTACATACAGGTAAGTCATCAAAAGTTACATACAGGTAAGTCACCAATAGTTACATACAGGTAAGTCACCGAGAGTAGCCACGTACAGTTATCAATTTTTTTACCAACAGGTAAGTATATTCACACTGTTTTATTACTGTCAATGCGTGTTTCTCTCCAGAACAAATTTGAAATAAGTCAAAAGAAATACATATATCATCTTTAGTGTGGAACTGTTGAGCTCCTTGACGAACGTCAAAAAAACCCCATCAAAACACTGAATTATTTGATCAGAGTCGTGACAAATACTGTACAGATGAAATATCGACTGTCAGAAAACATCGACAAAAGGCTGGCGGTAAATTCCAACAGAAGTGATGAAGATATGACATGGCTGATTAGCAAGGTATTTTAACACCCTAGTCGTTGTCACGACATCAGTTCGCAGCAACAGGAACGTTTTAATGAGAGAGTGAGATGATCAATTAACAGAAACAAGCTAAACACCAGATCCTATCAGACAAACGTACATGTTATGAGATAACCAAACTTGTGTTGGAATTCTTGCATCGGTTAATTGTATTTTAGAATTCTAAATTCGATTGAGTTTGATGTGAATTAGGATACAGAATATTAAATCGGTGTTTAATAACACGAAATAAGCTATGTTATTTGTTCATATTCTGAATTATATCATTGGAATCAATTACCGCGGAAATAGTGGATTGTTAAAGACAATCTACTGAGATCAGTTATCGTTCACGCCAGACTATAGCAATGTCAGTAAGTGAGCAACGCTGTGTACACTGTTCTGCTAATACTTGAAAGTGTCGGATCGCCCACACTAACAGCGCCAGTAAACAGCTAGGATATTCATCAATATATTGAAGTGTGAGCGCAGACATAAAAGGCAAAGTAATTATTATCCCAGATTTCCATATATGACATTTCCACTACACGTATTTACGATTATGAAATGATTGAATATCGACGACGATGATAAACAATCTCTTAATGTGTTTGAAGAATTATGGCAGAAGTTTTAAATGTAGAAATTTGATATTCGGAATTCTGGTGCCTTGTCTCTGTTTTAAACGTTATAGAAAGGAAAGTTGTTGTAACTCGCAGCGTTTTTACAAATGATTCATGGAAAAGATACTCAGTGTTAAACGTAGACAGTCGACGTGATATAGACACTGTACGGTATAACGCACACAGTCGACGTGTTGTAGACTCCGTACGGTATAACACAGACAGTCGACGTGATGTAGACTCCGTACGGTATAACACAGACAGTCGACGTGTTGTAGACTCCGTACGGTATAACACGTGATGTAGACTCCGTACGGTATAACACGGACAGTCGACGTGATGTAGACTCCGTACGGTATAACACAGACAGTCGACGTGATGTAGACTCCGTACGGTATAACACAACAGTCGACGTGATGTAGACTCCGTACGGTACAACACAGACAGTCGACGTGATGTAGACTCCGTACGGTATAACACGGACAGTCGACGTGATGTAGACTCCGTACGGTATAGTACAGACAGTCGACGTGATGTAGACTCCGTACGGTACAACACGGACAGTCGACGTGATGTAGACTCCGTACGGTATAACACGGACAGTCGACGTGATGTAGACTCCGTACGGTATAACACAGACAGTCGACGTGATGTAGACTCCATACGGTACAACACAGACAGTCGACGTGATGTAGACTCCGTACGGTATAACACACAGTCGACGTGATGTAGACTCCGTACGGTATAACACAGACAGTCGACGTGTTGTAGACTCCGTACGGTATAACACACAGTCGACGTGATGTAGACTCCGTACGGTATAACACAGACAGTCGACGTGATGTAGACTTCGTACGGTATAACACAGACAGTCGACGTGATGTAGACTCCATACGGTATAACACAGACAGCCGACGTGATGTAGACTCCATACGGTATAACACAGACAGCCGACGTGATGTAGACTCCGTACGGTATAACACATAGCCGACGTGATGTAGACTCCATACGGTATAACACAGACAGCCGACGTGATGTAGACTCCATACGGTATAACACAGACAGCCGACGTGATGTAGACTTCGTACGGTATAACACAGACAGTCGACGTGATGTAGACTCCATACGGTATAACACAGACAGCCGACGTGATGTAGACTCCATACGGTATAACACAGACAGCCGACGTGATGTAGACTTCGTACGGTATAACACAGACAGTCGACGTGATGTAGACTCCATACGGTATAACACAGACAGCCGACGTGATGTAGACTCCATACGGTATAACACAGACAGCCGACGTGATGTAGACTTCGTACGGTATAACACAGACAGTCGACGTGATGTAGACTCCATACGGTATAACACAGACTCACATACAATAATTAACCGTATGATACACAAACACAAAGCAACCGTGCAATACACACATACAACAATTAATACACACATACACTAATCAAACGTAGGAGACACACTAATTTCGCTTATAAAACACATATGCCAATCAATTTTGTAATACACACACAATGATCTAGCTTGAGCTTAAAGTAACGGCCTCGACTGTTTAGCAAATTTTGACTTCTGAAAATATCATAAATTTGGAAATAGACATGCCTTTAAAATGATTTCAATCTGCCTTCTTTCTGAATTGCATGCTACGATAACAACAGTTTCTTTAGCTTATAATAGTGTCAACCCAGACAGTTGATGTTCGTCTCATTCTATCTCAATAATTTTAACACATAGCGATCAATGAGATACCATGCGTATGCTTTTTTTTATTTTAATGACGATGCTTTTCTTTGTAGAGGTTTATATTGGCTATCAGAAGTACAGTAGTTTGTGTGTAACTGTTACAATTCTATATTGACTATCAGAAGTACAGTAGTTTGTGTGTAACTGTTACAATTCTATATTGACTGTCAGAAGTACAGTAGTTTGTGTATAACTGTTACAATTTTATATTGACTGTCAGAAGTACAGTAGTTTGTGTGTAACTGTTACAATTTTATATTGACTGTCAGAAGTACAGTAGTTTATGTGTAACTGTTACAATTTTATATTGACTGTCAGAAGTACAGTAGTTTGTGTAACTGTTACAATTCTATATTGACTATCAGAAGTACAGTAGTTTGTGTGTAACTGTTACAATTCTATATTGACTATCAGAAGTACAGTAGTTTGTGTGTAACTGTTACAATTCTATATTGGCTATCAGAAGTACAGTAGTTTGTGTGTAACTGTTACAATTTGATATTGACTATCAGAAGTACAGTAGTTAATGTGTAACTGTTACAATTTTATATTGACTATCAGAAGTACAGTAGTTAATGTGTAACTGTTACAATTCTATATTGACTATCAGAAGTACAGTAGTTTATGTGTAACTGTTACAATTTTATATTGGCTATCAGAAGTACAGTAGTTTATGTGTAACTGTTACAATTCTATATTGGCTATCAGAAGTACAGTAGTTTATGTGTAACTGTTACAATTTGATATTGACTATCAGAAGTACAGTAGTTTATGTGTAACTGTTACAATTTTATATTGGCTATCAGAAGTACAGTAGTTTATGTGTAACTGTTACAATTCTATATTGGCTATCAGAAGTACAGTAGTTTATGTGTAACTGTTACAATTTGATATTGACTATCAGAAGTACAGTAGTTTATGTGTAACTGTTACAATTTGATATTGACTATCAGAAGTACAGTAGTTAATGTGTAACTGTTACAATTCTATATTGGCTATCAGAAGTACAGTAGTTTACACGTAACTGTTACAATTTGATATGAGGATTATTTACTGCTGATATCATTGTCGATCCTGTGAAATACTTAATGAATCATGACTATACATATATCTGAATGACTTTATAAGGAAGTATAACATTCATATAAAGTTAAATTCTCAGACTTAATTTGTCATCTTTATCATTTTAATCTGTATTGCCATCGTCCGGATAGCAACGCTTGTGATTTATTTTGTTATATCCAGCTTTCTCTGATTAGTGTTAATTTATCAACTGTCTTTTCTTGTCATCAGTTGGATGAAATCGACAATGAAGCATTTCCGACAGAATGAACGTCTTCAGTTCCCACTGGCTTCCGTCGTCGTAAGATGGCAACAGAAACGTTATCAGATCGATTTCAATCACGAACTGCTCCGTGCCATATTTTCGAAATTTGGAACGATCAGAGAGATACGGAAACTCAGTCTGAACAGTGTTTTGGTGATTTTTGAGGACCTGAAAGCAGCTTGTGACGTAGTCTATTCCAATTACATCGGAATGTCTGGGTGTAAATTACACTGTAGGTGGTGGCATAAATCTATGGAAAATAAAATGGCGGTGAGACACAGGAGAGGGGCCAAAGGTCAACTACTGCCATTTTTATAAAACAAAATGATATTGCATGCGTAGTAATGATAGTAAAGGTAATTGCTGAAAGCAGTTATTTGAAAACTTGAACATAAATGTCAGGGTCTGATCAATGAATTCAGAAAGTGTTGGCATCGTTATTAAAATATATAAATATCCTATATTTGTCCTGTTAATATCTCCTATTGACTTTATCCTTGTCCTTGATGACCATCAATAATGATTTGACGCTTGTCGCTAGATCGTTCGAGACGAAGTACATTCTTAAGGAGATTGTGACGAAATTCATACATTATATTCATTAAATGTCACAGTTGATTCAATATTCAAGGACCTGTTCCCATTATCACGATTTTTGTGCAAGACGTCGACTGCCTAAAAAAAAGCTCGTAACACAAGGGCTCAAAAGATGCAGGTTGATGAAAATCACGGGAAATTTTCATGGTCGCCACAGTGATTTCATCGAGAAATATTGTATTTCTCTGTGTGACATGAAGCTGGACGTATTTGATGCTTGTTAGTTTGCCTGCTGGTTAGTTCCGTTGTTGTATACCTTGTTCCCATTGGAGAAAGTGGCATTACTTACTTGGATTGACCAAGGTTTACATGGCGAGTGTCGTCGATGAAGCAGAAGACACTCACTCTTCCGGAACACCTGATCTTATTCTCCTTGTACTTTTTCAGGAGTCTCCGTGTAAATTTTACTTTTGTTCAGATTTTGCTCTATTTTTATGGAATTTTAGTTTGTTTTTTATTACGTTACCATGTTGGTATTTTCTTGATGTGTTTTGTACAAACAACTTTTTTCCGTTTGCGGAAGATTCCTGTCGGCTGTTGTTTTCCTGTTTTGTATTGCCTCCTACGATGACGCCTCTTGTCTGTTGCCTCTTATGAATTTACTCGAATTTTTGAAAAAAAAAACTGTAAAACTGCTTAGTGATGCCTCTCCTGTATGTAGGTGCATTTCGATTGTAGATGCTGTGTGTTGTTACATTTTGTCAAGGTACATTACCGCTGTGGTGCTTACCAAACCCTTGTATTATTTCGCAAGGTTTTTTTTAAAGTTCTTGTGAGTGTCATTTTGCCAATGTTCAAAATGAAAATAAAAACATAATAAAATAACACGGAACACTAAATACACTTAAATAATTTTATCGTAGTATGTAATGATCATACATCTGTTTCATAAGATCGTTTGTATAATATATGGTATAATATACCATACACATGAAGCCAGCTGTAGCCCTTATAAATTAATATACACAACAACACCATGAGGTTCTGTCGCTCAGTACTACACATACAAAATAAACAACAAACAAAACGCGAATGATCAAAGTCCAATAATGCGGATTTTGTTCTCAACAAAATACATGTTTATCACGTGTAGGACTGTACAGTTGCGATGCTAAATTATAGAAAACGACCTAATGTTTAAAACAGTCAACTGCCGTCGTGTGTGTTGAGTTATCGTTTGTCATTGATAAGTATTGTATATTGCTCAACTCTTATAAAACTAGTACTGAGTCAGTTCACTGTATACAACCACTGGCGCCAAATACGTATCGTATTTTAAAACAAACGTTATAGTGTGAGGAGGAATCTTATAAGACTTTTTATATCTCATTCATGTACATTCTTCCTTAACAATTATGGTTTTGATATTTCAATTTGTAAATTTATGGCCTTCAAATTAATCAAACTCTATCGATTTATGCGTACATGACAAAAAACTTACAATTTCTAAGAAACTGGAATAAAGGATTTGAATGAAACTGCAATAATTTATGTGTTTGACTGTACACATGTTACTGTTATAGAAAACCAAATATGTCTAACATTATACGAACAACAGTTATCAGTTTTATCACGATAAACATCAGTACACTCATCAATTTCTCTGATACAGAACTGACATTCAAAACCAACTTAACACTCGGCTGTAATATCGTTTCTGTATTTCAGAAAAAAAATCTTTAAATCATCTCACAAAAAAACCCATATTTTATTAAACATGTACCGCATAAATCAATCATTTATACAATATATAGGTCACCAACTTTCTATTTAAGACATTTAATAAACATTTTTATGAAATACAGGATCGAAATTTCATCTGGAATAATTGAGCTAACCTTGGCATCTATCTCACTTCCAGCCTGTGAACTGTTGAAATTGCTTTCAAATGATCAAACGATTTTTTTTATGGTACATTGCACCCAAACGTTGAGTTGAGTATTGTTATATAAGTATAGGTAGATATATCTATGTACAGATAAAAATTATTATATATTCTGCTAGGCCTATATACAACCCTGCTCAGCGTCTCTACTACATGGCAACACATTTCTATTAGATGTATTATAATAAAATAGTTAAGTATGATATATTTCTATATTGAAATTACTATCAAAATGTATTTACTTTTGATGGGAACAAGCTGCAATGAAATGACTGATTTAATAGATGATCTCTATATTCTTTATTCCATAAATGCATTTATAAATAGTGACTAGAACGTTTGTACATGTTACGTAAATATGGTTTAATATGATTTATATACTATGAAATTCAAATTGAACACGACTAGGGCATCACAATTTGACTGAATTGTTACAAATGGTATTATCTATGATCTATTTATATATTGCACATTCTCGACATAAAAAACGAAAACGTTTACAAGAACAAGTATGAAATTTCTTTTTTCATTCGGACGCATCCATGACTCAAGTCCTCTTTCAGGGAGACACGAACCATATACTGAACACCATGAAAACAGTCAACAAGGATTTATTTATAAATCTGATGAAATCAAATCTGTCTCTAATAGGTAGCGCCAATGTGTTTTTTAATTGGGTTTGGGTGATGGAGGAAAGCCGGAGACCCTGGAGAGAAAAATCACAGACCTCCGGCAAGTACCTAGCGAATGCCACACATAGGCTCGAACCCATGACCCAGAGGTGGAGGATTAGTGATAAAGATAGTAGTCTTGTTAGTGTATAAAAAGGCAGTGGCATTCGATTGTTTTGGATAGTAGTACCGTGTGTTTTATAGTATTTAGAAAAAATAAAAGTATAGATCATTTGACGTGCTGAAGATTCTGATGTTTCTTATCAATGAGTGACATAAGCACTGCCTAATAGAGAGGGTCGATATATCTGATTACCTTTCGGTGGGCAGACAAAGGGGAACACTGTTAACCCTGTGTCGGTATACAGACAGACTGAGGAAAACACTGTTAACCCTGTGTCGGTATACAGACAGACAAAGGGGAACAATGTTAACCCTGTGTCGGTATACAAACAGAGTGAGGGGAACAATGTTAACCCTGTGTCGGTATACAGACAGACAAAGGGGAACACTGTTAACCCTGTGTCGGTATACAAACAGAGTGAGGGGAACAATGTTAACCCTGTGTCGGTATACAGACAGACTGAGGAAAACACTGTTAACCCTGTGTCGGTATACAGACAAAGGGGACACTGTTAACCCTGTGTCGGTATACAGACAAAGGGGAACACTGTTAACCCTGTGTCGGTATACAGACAAAGGGGACACTTTTAACCATGTGTCGGTATACAGACATACTAAGGAGGACACGGTTAACCCATGTGTCGATATACAGACAGACAAAGGGGAACACTGCTAAACCTGTGTCGGAATACAGACAGACTGAGGGGAACAATGTTAACCCTGTGTCGGTATACAGACAGACTAAGGGGAACACTGTTAACCCATGTGTCGATATACAGGCAGACAAAGGGAAACACTGCTAACCCTGTGTCGGTATACAGACAGACTGAGGAGGACACCGTTAACCCTGTGTCGGTATACAGACAGACTAAGGAGGACACTGTACTAAGGGGAACACTGTTAACCCATGTGTCGGTATACAGACAGACTGAGGGGAACACTGCTAACCCTGTGTCGGTATACAGACAGACTGAGGGGAACAATGTTAACACTGTGTCGGTATACAGACATACTAAGGAGGACACCGTTAATCCTGTGTCGGTATACAGACAGACTGAGGGGAACAATGTTAACACTTTGTCGGTATACAGACAGACTGAGGGGGACAATGTTAACCCTGTGTCGGTATACAGACAGACTGAGGGGAACACTGTTAACCCTGTGTCGGTATACAGACATACTAAAGGAACAATGTTAACCCTGTGTCGGTATACAGACAGACTGAGGGTAGCACTGTTAACCCTGTGTCGGTATACAGACAGACTGAGGGGAACACTGTTAACCCTATGTGGGTATACAGACATACTAAGGGGAACACTGTTAACCCTGTGTCGGTATACAGACAAAGGGGAACACTGTTAACCCTGTGTCGGTATACAGACAGACTGAGGGGGACACTTAACCCTGTGTCGGTATACAGACAGACTAAGGAGGACACTGTTAACCCTGTGTCGGTATACAAACAGAGTGCGGGGAACAATGTTAACCCTGTGTCGGTATACAAACAGACAGTGTCAGTATACAGACAGACTAAGGGGACACTGTTAACCCTGTGTCGGTATACAGACAGACTAAGGGGACACTGTTAACCCTGTGTGGGTATACAGACAGACTAAGGGGAACACTGTTAACCCTGTGTCGGTATACAGACAGACTGAGGGGAACACTGTTAACCCTGTGTCGGTATACAGACAGACTAAGGGGACACTGTTAACCCTGTGTCGGTATACAGACAGACTAAGGGGACACTGTTAACCCTGTGTCGGTATACAGACATCACAATATTATACATACTAGTGCGTATACATAAATATATTCTCATATCACAGTTAACGAACATATTCGTTAAAACATATTTAATATGCATGATGTCTGTAAAAATATGATATCAATTACATTTTACTCTTGCTATCAGCAGTTGTTGTCCGTTTCCTTTTCTATATCAGAAGATGAGAGATGCTTCATCAGTGAATTATATGTCATAGATATCAAGGTCGATTTAGAAGCATAAAACTGGTGTTTGTAACGAGCTGTATTTGGTATAATTACTAATAATATGTCTATAATATACCCCATCTCTCACCGTCTGTTATATCACTTGTCTATACCCTACCCTATTGTCTGTTACATTAGGCGTTTATAATACATCCTCGCATCGTTTGTGTTGGTCAGTGTGTAGCAATCAATCCACTCATACCTTGTTCAAACTTATGGTTTTCCGTTACTACAATATATTTTAGCACCGTCAATTTTGTAGTTTGACAGATTCGTGTTTGATCTGCCTTACATCATATGGTCTGTTCACAACACTTTGATTTCTCTTTGCTTTGTAGTAGTGTATGAGCCATCCGACTGGAAAATTTCCTTATAATTGTTCATTTTCTCGATGAAAATGTAACGAAGTGGAATAGGAATTGCAGAGATGGCATCACTCCATGTTCCACACGTGGATAAAGTGTTGTTCTGCTGTTTGCCCATCTTGCTACTGGCTGTAATTCTCTACACTTTCACAGCCATCATCATTGAGCTTTCGTTTGTAGAAAAAGTTTTTGATATACGTCACAATACCAAAAGATCTACCAAAAAGATCTACAATGTGACAATCACGGCAAAAACCGGATGTCTTCATCAAGTGGAAAATTTATTTCTATATAGTTATTAATCGTCTGCTCGCGCTTTCTGCGACAATGCGTTCTACAATTGCACTTCAACATGCGGTCATCACCATTGTCTAAAATCGTCATTGTCTAGAGAGGTCGCAACTTTGACGTCTACACACGTGCACACATGTTCACACGTGTGGTAAGTACGTTGTGTACAAGTACAGTAGCTCTGATGTAGACATATATCACCACTGAGTGACTACACAGCAGATATTACAGTGAAGACTCTTGTTCACCGTGTCAGGAAAATGTCGTCAGCGCGCTAAGTGTTGCATGATACTCCAGAGCTATTTCGTGGCAGAACCTATACTGCTCCTAAAACCAACAAGAAAAATAAGTACATTTTACACAAAGGCAAAAGGACACACAACTTGTCAAAAAAACTGACCGAGGAATTGATTTTAGTTCAAATTATTTCTGAAATGTTATTACTAGGAACAAAATGTAGTTGAATTTCCAGACTAGATCAAACTTAAAACCGTTAAAACCTTATTCCAAGGAAACAATTACTTAAAACTGATCAAAACGTTTCTTTACTACTTTGGGGATTTCGACAGATTCATTTTACAGAATAATCATACAAAAATTCAAAGGTAGAATTAGTGCAAACCTGATGAAGAAGTAAGCTAATGCGTATGAGTTAGAGTGGGTAGTGATTACGTTTACATTTTCAATGAAGTCCATTAGAAGACAACAGTTAAGACCGTAATTGTTCCAACTTACCAGACAGTCAATGATCTGGGTTCTGTTCAAACGCAATTGTTTAATAGCCTGGAAAACATCCACCTCCCGATCAGTTTTCATCCTCTCCAACACACAGCTCGTGGCAACAAATAGCCCACTGCGAGTGGCACCGTCCCTATAAATAGTCGACAAAAATGAGGTAAGTAATCCAGGAATTGTCACCTGACTGTGTAGCGACCAATCCACACCTAAGGTCTTTAAGTCGGACATTGTAACTATAAAATGTCTTACAGAATGATATATCAGAAATAACACGCTTGGCAGATTGAATAATGACAAGAAAACAATTTCTGATTTCTTTAATGTATATTTTCATTACAGAAGTGATAAGAGATTCCCCACCCGCCCCCGAAATCCTTCTCGCGAACAAAGAAATTAGAAACCAAAAAAAGCACACTCGTTTTTTGTTTTTTTTCTTTTGGAAGGTGTGACTGATACTGAAAATGTGTCGTTGGTTCCAAGATACAGAGGCCAGAAGTAGATTCATGAAATCCAATCAGTGCCGTCTGGTAGCGAACACCTGAAGCAACGATTAGGCAAACGACACCGACCCAATCACATACAGCAGAGAACAATTACAATTTCGAGCACTTACAAGTGCAATCAAGCCTCAACTGTCTCAAAAAATCTCGCCAATCGTAAATACTTGCGATACCTTACAACATAAGGTTGGGATTCGGTTATTCAACTGTCAATTACCAAACTTATAAACACTATTACGGTAGGTTTTTTATTTGCGTGATCAACGGTAATCGATCGTCGCAATATAAACACTTCATCTTCCGTTATTATCAGTGATCTTAATGACATCTATATCAAGACTGCTATTGACATGTAAACACAACGTCAGACAACCAGTGATCCTCAGCTTCGCTTCATCAACTCTTTTATTACTTTCCTTACATATACCAGCGTTCAGTAGGGATGATCTTGCTCGGGTTGCAGACGACTAATTTCGGCTAGATCTACACAAAGCGGTTATTTTTCCCTGTTCTCATGGTTGATAACCGAGTCTAATTTCGATTGAGCACAACATCGTCTCGGTACAAACAATAATCAAGGAGAAACGTAATCGACAAGAGGTAATTGGGTGTATGGTAGATTTATGTGGTGTTAATCCATTACAACACACACTTGGTAGCTCTTGATATCCATTTATATCGACGGTATGGACGAATCCCTGTACAAGCTGGGTCACAATGCCATTCATCCGCCAAAGACACCGAATGCTCATATTCATACCGAGGACAATACATTCGGCCATTTGCCAGACAGCATGCACAACTTTCGAGTTAATATGAAATCGATATGAAATTACAAAATAATGGATTAATTCTATCTTTATTCATATAATACTACTCTCCAAACACAACGTCCCATTGCAACATTGATTACATGTAACCAAATTCATTTTTAGAAAATAGCTATGTAATTGAATATGTTCTCAGCTTTTTTGTTACTCATCACAGAAAATATTTATAACATGTATTTGCAAAAGGCTGACCAAAGCGAAAATAGAATTAGAATATCCCAACAAAATTTGACTACTAGTTCTTCCATACAAACAATCTCCAGCTGGTTCTGTGCATTCAAACAGAAAGCTCCAATAAACATTCGGTGAATATTCGTTATAAGAAATTATATAAAACAAATGATAATATTAAAGTGATACAAACAGACAATGGACGTTGACATGGTAATTATACGTACAGACAATGGACGGTGACATGGTAACTATACGTACAGACGGTGAATGGTGACATGGTAATTATACGTACAGACAGTGGATGGTGACATGCTAACTATACGTACAGACAGTGGACGGTGACATGGTAATTATACGTACAGACAGTGGATGGTGACATGGTAATTATACGTACAGACAGTGGATGGTGACATGCTAACTATACGTACAGACAGTGGACGGTGACATGGTAATTATACGTACAGACAGAGGACGTTGACATGGTAACTACACGTACAGACAGTGGACGGTGACATGGTAACTATACGTACAGACAGTGGACGGTGACGTGCTAACTATACGTAGACAGTGGACGGTGACATGCTAACTATACGTACAGACAGTCGACGGTGACATGCTAACTATACGTACAGACAGTGGACGGTGACATGCTAACTATACGTACAGACAGTGGACAGTGACATGGTAACTATACGTGGACGGTGACGTGCTAACTATACGTACAGACAGTGGACGGTGACGTGCTAACTATACGTAGACAGTGGACAGTGACATGCTAACTATACGTACAGACAGTGGACAGTGACATGCTAAATACGTACAGACAGTGGACAGTGACATGGTAACTTTACGTACAGACAGTGAACGGTGACATGCTAACTATACATACAGACAGTGGACGGTGACAGGTCTGCTGCCACTCTGCTTCTGCCATATCTCGACTTGGTCCAGCAATTCGAGAAGAGCAGCTTTCGAGCTTGGAATTACACTCATTTCAGGCCATCGATGGAAGTGAAATTGTCTCACAACTCGAGGTACCTCCTGGGGCTGAAAAGAAATATCACACATTTGGACTTGCACTAAAGTATAATATATATATTTTTCACATTATCAATTTTCATGTGTTATATTTACATTTAACTGTATTATTCATGTTACGAGCAACTGCGACATGCCTTGATCGTGCGTCTACGTTTCAATTATCTCATTTCAAATTTTAGGATGGTAATATTGGCAATATCTGATGAAGACGGAGGTTCGAGTAGCGTATAAGTAAGGTGATTCTCAACATCTTGGAACTTTGATTTCCAATATTCGATAGCATGCACACTCCTGGAACTGTATCTCATCAGGAAACATTTCTTTGGTATCTTGTATGGAGTTATGTATACTGTGTTGGACTCGAGGGAAATCGAGCTTAACACGAACATATTATTTACATTAACTGTATTGACAACGTTGAAAGGGTCGTAACACACTTACACGTATTAGAACCGAGATAAAACCTCATGTACACAGAAGTTGTCGTGAATTATCTTTTAGTTACCATGAAGTGATATACTATGATATGTGATATGTTGGATGACAGAATCATCACCGCAGAAACTGTCAATGTATTATCTGATGAAGAGTGGGTACTTTGATTTTATCTCGTTCACGGTAGAAGAGTGAATTAAGCTGCATCACACAGCCGTTTAACTCCTTTTATGACTCGTCAACGATGCTAATGGCTTAACGTCTCTAAACATACGAGACGACTAAAGAATAATGATCAATAACCGAATGGGGCGGTGTCTAAACCTAAAATTCAATAAATGTGATCATTTTCATTAAATTAACCGCAGTTTTGGAAATGTTTGGGGACAAAAATTTAATCAATACAATTCATAGTAAAAATAAAATGGTATTTTCTTCAAAAGCACGTGTGTAATTTCTGTCTGAACTTTTCAGGGATATCCGTGTAAATCTTTCTTTTGATCATAGTTTGTCCCAGTTTTATTGAATTTGAGGTTTGATTATGATGATGTTGACATGTTAGTATTGTTGCTCTTGGCGTCCTAGGGAACTGCAGTTATGACTAGAAGTGGTTCGTTGTGAGATCTCATAACCTATCTCCCGCTATTTGGAAGAAGGGTGTTCAATAACGTTGATGCAAATAACAGCAAACATTACTTCTTTCATAATCATAATCCAAGATGGCCTCTTCTCTGCCATTTTGTTTTTCTGATCAGATCAAAAATGGAAAGGGCACAACAAGGGGCCAAAGGGAACCTAAATAGGAAATTTGGTAAAGATTCATCTTGTACTTCCCCAGATATGACGATAACAATTTATGACTCAAAATCCAAGATGGTTGCCTTCTCAAATAGGCTATGTACAACTAGGCAATTAGGTTTCAAGAAGGTAAACCTACGAATGAGGTTTGAAAATGATACATTGAACACTTTCTCTGAAAAAGCGATAGTAAACTATTGTTCTCAAAACCAAATCCGCCTATCACCCATTTTTTGTATTTCGGATCAGTCATTATTCTGTCATTATTTTCCGTATAAACATTTGATGGAAAGTATGTTCCGCTTTTCACTGTTGTAAGAGTTGTGATTAATCAAAGACTTCATTCTAAAATTCTAAAACTATCCTGTGTTTAATTACATTGGTACTTACGTTCTGTGTATTTGTGACTGTGAAGTCTCGGACTGTTATACTGGGGTCAGATTTGATCTCAGCAGTTGTCTCCACAATGAACGGTCCGTACTTTTCACCACATGTATCTAACGTCCAGTATTGTTCCATCATCTGCACGTGCAAAAAGTCATTTAAGGAACACTCAATCAATGGTAAAGAAACATATTCAATCAAAGTTTGTATTAAAAACTGACATCAACGTGAATCAATTAACACTGTTTTTATAATTCAATCGATAATTTTAGGTCACTTAAAACAAGATGAATTACAGCATCGTAGCAATACTGACTCTTAGTCATACATCTGTGAAACCAAATGATTGAAAACCTTCTATAGGAAACAAGACTATAGGCTGAGAGAATTTCTAGAATCATGAGGATAGCAAAGTGTCACCTCGTCATGGGGATCCACCTCGTTGAGCATGACGATACAGTAAGAATTGTGATCGTAAATCATCCTCCAGAAATCCACCACGGTGTTGGGCATTGGCATCTGGGTTGCGATGTACGCGTCCTTACGTCGGTAACCCTGCACATACAAACATTCCTTATTTTCATAACAAATTAAGCTTTTAGTTGGCAAGATTAAACAATTATTTAAATTGTGCCATTAAATGATATACATTAAAATCACTAATCTAGACTGACGCTATACAATTTGTATTTATATTTTTGAAAACGGATCGCAATCATATCATTGTTCGAGTATCAAAAACTACATGTACATAAATTTTCTGCTTTCATCTTTTATACTAGACATCGGCAGCAATAAACTGAATCTGTGTATCATTATATCTGAATGTCGGTCAATTTTTCATCACACAATTTGTGACATTTCCGCACGCCAGATCAGATAAAAGGTCTGGTACCTTACAAACTATCACTGAAATAGCTCACAATGGAATGAAATCCTCCATGGCTGTCGATGACGAATATGACATTAGTATCGAATATCTTATATTACCATTTCGTGAGGTCAACCTCATCATTGCTGATATTATCAGGCGCGGGTCGGTATGGTACTTACGTTGAGGAAGGTGGCGTTGATGTAATCGTTGTAATCCTCCACCCGAGTCATCAGATATGGCCGGCATCTGTTCGCTGTAGGGCAGACAATGGCAGGATAATGAAAAAATTCCATAGTACCCACATTAAATATAACATACTACTATAAAACCAGGGAACGGAAAAGGAAATACCGATCCTGGTCATTACTGAGTACGTGCGTGTCGATGTTCAGGTGCTCTACCTCCCTTAATTGCCTGCGCATTTGTTACTGATGATAGGTCTTTTAAAGTAGTGCTCAAACGGAACGGTTAATACGTGTATGTTGAATGTCGAATCAGAAACTATTCCTAAAGACGTCAAAAGACAATACAGTATTGACAGTATCAATATTGGTTAAAAGATATTTCGCTGGCTAATTTCGGATTGATTATCGGAGTTATTCATTTACTCCATGGACTGATGAAGGGAAATTAACTTCGTGCAAATGAAGTGAACTGCGTAGAATTTCTTTCCACTATTTGCACGAGATTTACTTTCTCATCTGTGCATGCAAGCATGAAAATATACATTCAAGCTTTATATTATTCACATTCACCATTTTAAAAATCACGCCATTCGAAAACACTTTTAGTTGACAATTATGTATAATATAGTTTTGCTTTGAAAAATTGTTGCAGTTATCGTACGCATTCGTCACAAAGCAAAAACATAGGATTTCAGTACAGGATTTGGTTATTATGATGTTTGCTAAGATAAGGCATTTTTAATTCTGCTTTTATTTTAAAAGAATGGATTTGTCAGAAGTCGCTTTCTGTAATGAGTATACATTGATTAAAGTGAAAGTTTACGTGTCAATGCGCTTAAACAAGATGATGAGAATTTTGACATAAACATGATTTCAGCTTTTTGGAAGTTTTTAATTTAGTGACACGAGGTGACGATCCGGTCGAAGAGTTTAAAGGTAGGGCCAAGTACATATAGTCTAGACACAGCATTTGATGACGTCTGGTTAATGACTGACCTTTAACACGTCGAATAATATTTTAAAGTCATGCAAAATTTATTTGGCCAATCATGAACATTATTCAATACGGTAACGTATTTTGTGTTCAATCAACTGTCTACAATATACCAGCATTTCCCTATGGCGCATGAAACATCTGTATCTATTGGAACACATGTACACTAAAGTAATATTACAAAACAATACAACATGGTGCCTACTGTCTTCCGCGAGACAAAACAAACCGGAAATATAAATATGAAGTAAACAAGTTAAAAAAATGATACAACCAAAGTGCCTATCCAGTTATTTATCAATAATATTCACTAGTTAATGCATCAACTCTTATTGCACTTATGTTTTAATGAATGACATTACCATAAAGACTGTTCCTCACTTTGGACTTTTTAACGCATATATATGACTTACCTGGTACAATAACTTTACATCTGTTTTTGAATATGTTCTCAGGACGAAGAGCAACTGTCGTTTCGTCCCGCTCCATTGTATTTGTTACTAATTTAAGTACCTACAAAGATATACATCACTTCTATAATGTTATGCAATAAATTGAACTAATTCAATAGTTAAAATGAACTTAAGTGGATAAATTTCAGTGACCTTATACTTCTACTTCCGATCTTTATACAATCTACGCTCTTTGTCTACATATGTAGTACGTATATTGGATAAGGTGATTGTGAAGGTTGTTGTCTTGGTATGTACATGTTGTTGCTTTCTGGGTATTTCCTCAAAATTCGATAAAATTGTATTAACTAACTTGAAACAGTCGAAAGATACCTTTATATAGTAATTAACAGAACGTGCATATTTACCTCGTACTGTTCATCTAGTTTCGTTTTCCCTATACTTTGTTCATATTGCAGCAGTTCTGATAAGGTGTCTGGATATGAATCGAGAGTTATTGTTGTGTCTCCACATATTAAGGCTTCCAGAAGGACATCGTAAACGAACATGTATTGTTCCTGTAAAACAATATTAACACAAGAATTTAACGGTTTTTTCTTCACAAATTTAATGGGTATCATAAATAAATAATTATATAGCAACAGAAACAACGGACCATTATCTATGATACAGGGAAAGCAAGAATCATGCTGCTCTTTGGGACCAAATACCGTCTGTTTATATTCCTCTTGTATTTAAGTATCAGTCGCACTCTCTTTATAAAACGGTCTCCGGGGTGAATTATTCTCAATTGTTACATAAATCCATTTGACAATACGGGCAGTATAATATTTCAATTATCTATATTCATCAAAACGACATGCAATCTCAGTCTCAGAAATCGCAGTCAAATAAAACTGTTTCAAAGAATAAATTGACTACCAGTTTATTGACTACGTGAGATATCTCAATACCACTGGTTTATTGGGCATTGTGGACATACTGCAAGTGTTTGAAATGCACTTGTCATTTTAATCAATATCCCTTCCTTCCTGACTCTAGTGATGACCGTTGTTATAATAATTACGAGTCACGCAAGCATGAAATGAACAGCCTAAGTGATCAGCGAAGCGTGATGCAAACATTACCAGTGTCTGGACCATATTGACCCTCATTGTCCGCATCTGTTGGACAAAATTGTGGACGTCTATAAGGCCTTCATTCTTTGCTTGGTCAAGGTTGACGTCCACCGCGATGTAAGTACCGGTCCGACCAACACCAGCGCTGAAAATAAAGAGGTTTGGATTTGTGTCTTGTGGATCACAAACAATATGTGTTGTCTAGGTAACAAACAGAGCTGAAGGCCAAGCAATACATCTGCGACACTTATTTTTAACTACTTTCCATTTCTTGGAGGTATTTACGTGAATTTAACGCACAATTGTATGTTCTACAGAATCCTTTCATTTATATTCACAATAAAAGCATACTCATTTTGGGAAGGCCAACTAAAAAACAGTATGTGGACAACACAATAACACATTTTCGTAGAAAGCTGTTTTTATGTCCAATTTAGACGTGAGAAAATTACAGTATACCAAAAACACTTTTTTAGATAAATGGAAGCACCTTGAGGCATTATCAGCCTTTTTACAGAAGCCCTTGTTAGCTCCTATCCACTACCGAGTTTGTTACAATCACAGATGCCGTTATTGCCTCCGGCAAGATGGATTAGCCATTCCTTCAGATCGCTTGTGCAAGAATGCACATGGTGTCGACTAACACGTGCTAGACCAAATTCGGAAATGGAGGTTCATAATGGAAAAGGACGGGGCAATATTCTCTTTGCATTTAATGAATACATTTACATGGGGCAACGGTGCCTAGTTCGTGTGATTGCACTTGATTGCATCAAACATTTTATTGGCGGAAATGGAAGGGAACAATGATCTATGAAATCCCTCATAATTCATACAATGTATTCTCACAGCGTGAAGTTAAAACGTGTCCAGCATGTTTTGGCCTTCTGTCTTTGATATTACGTTTTTATTTATCGGTTGAAGTGGACGAAGTCTAGCCCGGCAGCGAATCCAACGCAGCATAACCGTTCCATTGTACTAGCCACTTAAGGTGTTAAAAAGTGATTATCTGACTGAACGCGTCAACAATGGATAGCCACACCTCTAAGAGGGTGACTAGTGAGGAATGGAGCTGACGTATCGATTACTGAAACATAAAAGGCCGGTGTCCAAGATATCAGGTGGAACAACAACATAGTATTGAAACTTTATAGATCAGCCGTTAAGGACTTCACGGTGAGTCAGCATCGAGGCTACCCAGAAGGTGTTTTATTATCAGCTTGATCACGTTTGATTACATTATCAGATACTAAAACACAACCAGAACGTGTACAGAAGAGGTGATGTGTTACCAGCTGTAATCATGAAGGCAAAAATACACATATTATGTACAATTATCTTAATACTATTCGCATCAATTTCAAAATCAGAGCAAAATCAATACAAATTACTGTCATGGTGAATATACAATATACCACAAGTTACAAAAGACAGTAATATAAGACTACAATGGTTCCGTTCCTTAGTTTCGTATCCTTATGATGTTTTATTGTCATCATTAATTGATATAGAGAAACTTCATGTCTGTGAAAAAATTATTATATTCACTTGATTCACCTAAAATGACAGGAATATTAAACTAACACCTGCTTACTTTGTGACTGGCCTCTCTTTATAAAGCAAGCAAGGTTAATGAAATGCAATTCTCAACACATGTCTAGATATTTCAATATAAGCCCCAGGTTGAACCTCAGATCGTTAACCGTCACCTAGGGGCACGCCGCAGACCGGATATTGAAGAAATGAATCATATTAACCGCAAAGTGGGCAAAACTGGGCATGTGCCATGTGGAAAAACCATCAGTGAATCAGCGAAACAAGCATTCTCCAATCTGTTTTCCTAAATGAGATTTCAATCCATAACGTTGATAAATAATTACATAAAACTTCGATTATCCCATTGTCCAAGGAAACATTCATTAACACTGCAATTAGCTTGGTCGTATGGAAGTGGAGTCTGTGTCTCTTCAGCAAACGATCAGACGTTCCATCAGACAAGACAAAGAGACCTTTTCAAAGCTGAACCACCGTCAGTAATTGGTGAACAATGGAAAGTAATCTCTGTTACAAAGGGCGTGACCCATGGGGACTCTGCAATTTATGTTAATAGGTACGGGTCGATGTGGGAGTAGTAACTCTTGATTTGTGTAGCCTGCTTCTCTGATATGTTTATGGCGATTTCGAAGCCCTGTAGCATGGGCAATATGTTTCAGGAGTCGTGGATGTAGGAAACAGTAATAAAACACAGCAAACAGTTTTCTCATAGCTGTGTTTATAAAACCATACCATGGGTAAAACAAATTTGTGTGTAAAATCCCATATCATAAGCTAAATATATTCTCTAGCTGTTATACAGTCTTTTCTAAGTTCAGTATTTCATTGGATCAATGAGAAATATCTTTATTTTGATCGACAAACCTATGTACAGTGCTGATTTATATTCTAACCAGTAATTGGAAAAAGAGACACCTTGAAAATGTATTCTCGCAAAACAACGTCAAAGAACATTATGGAATTAAGTTACTTTTTATTAACTTCTCATGTATATGGTAAGCTCTTAAAAGCCTGTTGTTGAAAATTACACTTAAGGGAAAGTCAAAAGATGATATACGAAATGAAAGCCAAGCTTATTATTGGTCTTGATATCACCACCTACGTGAGAATAAATTTAATGTGGCTGAAATGTATTGGAGTTGAATAGTTATGAATGTATCCTTACATATTTATCAATGCTTTGCGAGCATTTCAATCATTCTATTTCTTTGAATTCAATGTCATGTTCCAACAAAGTTTACATTTTTTTAAGAGTACAGCTTACTGAAATATCAACTCCACATTTCTAGGAAACACAGGGAATGAGTCCATTCCCCGGATAACGTATAATCCCGTCAGTGATAATGAATTTTTTATGGGGACAGCGATAATTTATCATTAACAGACTAGCAGACAAATCCTTGAGATTTTAAATGAACTTTGCTTTTAGTGAAGAAAGACATTAGGCTAATCCGGTCATTCTTGTCACCGAATCTGACGAAGAGACACAAACGCCGAGATGTCTCATACTTTTGTAAATATATCTAACACATGATTACAACATTAAGTCAGGAAAGCGGATGGTACCGCTACATCTCCGAAATTAAAAGTCATTATCATACTTTAATCATTAACAAAAAAGCAATCCTAAAGTACGAGAACACATTTGTTAAATCTTTCCTTACAGGTCATCGTTCCGATGTGGTGAAATACTAGCCGACAATATTCTGTGTTTATAAATATCTATTGACATACCGCCACTTTCGCAAAGAAAACCACAACTAATGTGTTCTTTCCATAATGGTCTCATGGCAATACTGTATGCGTTCAGTTTGAAAACAATAACTGGAATTTATTGGTCATAATGCTATAACTGTATAGCCTGAAGCTTTACAGTCCTGCAGGGGTTACCAATTCACAGGGTTGGTGATATATGTAGAATTTTATTTTTTGTCTATTTTGAAAACCTATGGTTTATTTTAACTTGTCACAAATTTATCATTCCCGAGAGATATGCACTTTTAGACGAACGCAGAGGTATGCAATAAATCAGTTTCGTAAATGATATATTCTGCATAACAAATTTTAATCTTTTAAAATGTAATAAGATTAGCAGGCCATGGAAGATACAAGAGACAACACAACGAGTAAAACACATACCATTCAGATGTGACTAATGTTTATAATATTCAAAGGCAAAAGTCATATCTTATCAAATCTAATGGCAGCTGACATAGCATACAGAAATTCCAAATTTAAAATGACAAATTGTAATGTTTCCTAATTGGACCGGCCGGGGATAAATAAAGGAAAGAATATGATTGAACTGTAATACAAAAAGAAGATGTAAATAACATGCAATCAAAACTCATGTTTTAACTCTTAATCCAAGAAACATGGACGAAATATAAACAAAACAAAAACACATAAATATTCTTTCGAGAGAAAAAGGATTATTCCAAGAGAACAAGAAGTACATGACAATTTGTTCTTTAAGTTTAGGAGCTCTTTGTCTCCGTGACAAATTACAAGTTGTCACGCTCTCGAAATGAGAGCGGCCAGACATGCCCATAGCTTTACTCATAGCGATAAGTTATTTCCTATAAAAGTGACTATAATCATACATTACAATGCTAAGTTACTAACCTGCAGTGTACTATCGGCGGACCAGCATCAAGGTTGTCATAAGCCCGGATTTTTTGTCGTAATAACAACAAGGAATTCCCGAATCGGGGTACCCCGTGATCTGGCCACGTGGTGTAGTGATATTGTTTTAGCTCGCTAAACTGGTTACCCTGGAAACGATATAAAGCAGTTTTGGTTGTTTACAGAAGTATATAACATTATTAACCTTTCACACTTTGCAAAATTACACAACATTTTTACGTGTTGAATATAATCATGGTTGGTGAAATGATGAAAAGAAGTTGTGATTTAAAGCATCCGCTTTGATTTTTTAAATCTTTCGTAATTGTAATGCAAAAGTCCTTAAATAATCTACGACATTGGCTTTGAAATATTGCTTGCGATGTAATAATTTTACTCCATTTTCGCGTTTGGATTTGGACTTGTATAGTGGGCATAAGCTACTTCGTATAAACTTATATTGTATTTGTATTTTTACAAAATTGTACTGTAAATGTTTCGGTATCGTGTGATGATATCATTTGTAATGTTGCTTAAGGTTTTTAAATCTTGCTATTTTTTGTAGATTATAAATATATGTATATATATAAATATATATATATAAACTTGTCCCAGGTAACAAAATTCGGTCACTTGGATGTCAGGAAAAACTCACCTTAGAGAGTTGGAATGTACGTATTGTGAAATCAGGAAGATGGTCAACATCAACAAGCTCTACTAATATACCAGCGTAAATCTCCTTTCCTGTATCAGGCCAATACTGCTCACATTTTTTCTAAAATTCATAATTTTTATTTATCATTCTTCATGTGCGCATAAGAAAGAAGAAAAAATGATAAAAAATTAACTAGGTAAAAATTCTCCTTAATTACTCAACTTAAATCGATGAAAATCAACTAGTTAAAATAACTCCCCTCAATAACTTTACTTGAATATCGCTTTTCATCATAATTCACCAGATTGTTTTGCTTTCAGTAGAATTTATTTAAATATGATCAACACTATTTCTGGAGATATTGTAAACATCATTGTTGTACACAATATACTGACCTTGCCCGTTTCGGTGGGGTTTGTCAGCATTATAATTGTCTTTGATTTTTCTTGCCACGCCATTCTCCATATATGGTCTATTGTCGGTTTTGTTGGTCCTAACAAAAATAGATACAGCTTAAAATAATGATCCAGCTTTACATAAATACATTATTAATGACTTGATGCTTCAACAAACAGCATTTCCTGCAGATGATACGAGATCAATGATTACGTATAGACTAATTTCGTGTCTTATGTAACAAAGCAATAACTATATGGTAAGTTTATCTAGCTGCCTGAACAATCACCAGGAAAATCTTGTCCGGATCCGCGTCTACAATAACCCGACATAAACCGATATATCTCCATCGGAATAGCTAAACGAGAAAATTCTGTTCATCAAACAAACCGATCCAATTTTTTAGTAATTGGACAAGCCGATAACATCAGAAATCATCTTGGAAATTGATTGCATTCGGAACGTATTGCACCATAAATCGCGATAAGAAACTTGCAAAACGTTATAAGGTTTTCTATGTTTTATTTGTCAGGTACAGCAGTGGAAGGTAGCGCCACTGTCAAAGCTTGTATAACACAAACACATACAACAATTCTGTTATTTCTATGATATGCTCCCGAGGTACTGGAATGAATAGAAGACGGCAAATTAAATATCCCAATCCCTTTCATCTCGATATTACTGTTATACAATATCACCTAAAAAATGAATTTATCACATTGCAATTTTTTGAAATATATCAGCTCTGCTTCGATAAGAACCACATGTTCTTATCATTTCACGAACATTCTTACCTTGCGCTGCGATGTAAGCCTTCGATTTCTTATAACCCTGTAAAGAAGATTTCTAAACAATTAAACTGTTTAGTAAAGTGACACAGAGGCATCACTGTTAGTGCGTAGTACTCATTCATATTCGGTATATGAGATATTATGTTAAAGTGTAATGAATACAAGAACAGTTAATAAATACTTTCTTATGACAAAACTCGATCAGAAGATTTGTGTAATTTGATTGGTAAGGACACCTCTATTCCTCGGATCATATTTTCCTATTACAGCAGACACAAGAAGGTATATATGACAAAATATACTGTCTATTACATATTACATATTACATAATGGACACAGATCTATGACAAAATATGCTGCCTTTAATACTTAACAAAAGACAAAAATAAATTATATAAATGTGCTCTCTCGATAATGTATTTCTTGATAGACAAAAAATATATGACAACATTTGCTATAAGCTTATTAGATTTTAACAAAGATATGTGCCAAATTGTGTTGTGTATTCATATAACATTATAGTAAATAATATATGACAAAATGTGCTGTTCATTATGTATTTCTTAAAACAAGAAAACTGATACTGACTTCATTCTAATTCATCAGACTGCATTTTCTTTATATGTAAATGACTTCGTTATCGTCATATTAATGATCCCATTTCCTCGAGAATCGGTAATTCATATGCCAATTAAAACAGACCATTTTGGAAATCGGTCGTAAATCTATACGCAGAAATAATAATTTATTAATTCTGGTAAACGAAACAAATTGAAAATTTGAAAAAAAAAAACTTTTACGAGTGTTATATGTATTGCTTTGCTGTTTGATTGAGAGCCAGATAATTTTCTTCAATGTAAAATACGATGTTTTAAATTAACTATCTCCCCCTTGCAGGAAACACGCAATTTCTTAAGTCATGATGATAATAAACGTATTTTTGGAATACGACAATTTATTAAAATTGACACAAACCATTGAGTAACAGAGATAATCTAACAGTGTTTATAACATATAACGAGGATGACTCGAATGAGAATTCTTCACACAAGGCGATACCAATATTGTAGTTACTGCTGTTTGATAAAGAGAACGAATCACCGAGTAGGAAATCGTATAAAAATAATGTAGAATGATTGTAGCACAAACAAAGAATGCTGAAAAGCCATGTATATATATATAATCATGTAAAAATACAATTTTCGAAAATTGTATTCCATCTTGCAAACATTTAAATATACATTGAAGTTTTACTAGAGGTGAGGGCCTGTTTTGTATCGTCAATACTTACATCTATATAGTTGGCATTGGTGTAGTCATCGTTTATATCATTAGCCACGGGTTTAATTACAACCCTTGTGTGGTCATCTGAAAGGGAAAAAAATATCAATGAAATTGCAGAAGTGTTAGATTTCCCGTTTGGGATTTGTATCTATATTGCATCATATTGTAATATAGGAAATTAAGATAACAAGATTTACAAAGTCAACTTACAGGCAATGATATTTCCATATCTGTTCTTGTTTTTATTTTCTGTTTTCTTAGCCACTTCACAACTTGCAGTCAGGCCGGCTGGTATCAGCTGTTCAAATAAGCAGATAAGATATTCATTTCTAACAGGTTTAAAAAGCAATACAACGATTAGAACAATTTTTGCCTTTCTGTGTCTATTGTGTCTTTAAATTATTTACGTTTATTTTCGTAATGAGAACTGATGTCCTCCGTGCCAGTCATTTACCATACCATTTTATCAGACACACACTAGATATAGACTCATTTGTTAATCAAAAATTTTCTGTAATAATAACTTTGACCACGTGTTGACAATGTTATACCAGTCTCTAACACTTCTTCATTTTGCACCTTTCATTTACAGTTCAGACAAATGTTGAAAAAAAACATCGCTGTCCACATCAAATAAACCGCGATATTTCGGTAAATAAAATCAAGAAATTGATCCATTGGTAACAAAAGGTTCAACCAAATGAGATTTTGTTGCAGATTTTTACATGTATTGTAAAAATTAGAAAAAAAATTGTATTCAAAGTAATTATTAAGAACAATGTATAGAAACAAAAAAATCTCGTCGATTTTACAACTCGAAACTGGGGAATAAACACTTACCCATATAATATTCAAATCACTCGAAAATACGCAAAAAAATTCTTTTAGTTTTGTGTTCCTATGATATGGACATTCACAATGACATTTTACACCGGAAGTGAAGAGAGGTGGTCTGGACCCTCTTATTGTTTAAAATCGAATTTTACAATGTCACGGCGACTTAGATATGAAAGTGTGAATTTGAAATAGGACCTATTAAATTACTCATTATGATTGGAAGTGAATCATACCCGGTATTCCCGACGTAAGCCCTCAGCCTCATTCTCCTTGTTCTGTTTTACGTAATCCCACAGATCCTCGACCTTCACTGCAGGGAACACGCCCATACCTGTGTTACCATAAAGAGGCTCGCTCTCAGCATCTGTAGCCGTACCAGTACTGTGTTCTATTAATGGTTCTGCCTCAATATCATCTGCAATAAAGAATACAAAATTCGCTTACTTAAAAGAAATGCGTTTGAAAAGCACAGCAAATCATACAGAATCAACACTCATATATCTAAGAAATAAACATCCTTCTTATCCATTCTTGTATCTGGTCAACAGACCACTCGATATTCATAAGGTTCCACTTTGTAACTTAACTAAACTTACGATGTATTTGAAAGGAAATGCCTTTAATATTTTTGCTTTTTTTCATTTTAGAACATTTTATATGGATTGAATATCTATATATATGATAATGTTAAAGACTAGTTCCATAAATTATTTTAACAAATGGATGTAACGTAAACATGTATGATGAACTGGACAAGGTGCTTCTCATACTGTTCATTGAACATTGATGTATAAGCGAATGTGTTATATAAGTGAAGAATGCCTCTAACGTTGTGTTTCATTGCGCAATAACTTTTCCCCAGCTATTGCATATTGACGCCAATACAATATCAATGAATTTGTATCATACACAAACGGGCATCATAAATCATGATGTATATGTGTAGCGTAGGAGTATCAAGCACTAAATGGTAAGCATTATTGGCAAAGCAAGGCTATACATCCAAGCGAGAAAAGTAATAAATACAGAAATATCAGCGGGGTAAAATATAAAGTATAATTACTTCTAGTAAGCATTGTTCTATCCTATCATAAAACTCTACGAATGTGTTTCATTCTAAGAACTAGAATTCACGTGATATTTTTTTTCAAAATCGCAGCTTTCAGGTGAAATTCGTGGATGGATTTCGATTTGTTAAAGATTTGCTTATGAAAATACCTATGCATTCATATTTGTTTTCAATGACAATGGGGAAAAGAAAAAAGAGAGGGGATAATCAATACATAATCAGGATCTTGGGGTTGATAAAGACACATCCAAATAACTGAATATTGCATTGTGGGATGTACACATACATTTACATTCAAATGTAGCACAAAGTAGCAATCATTTGATGTTTAAATAAACGAAAACTAATCCAGAAGTCGTTTAGCATTCATTACGAGCTGTGCAAATCTGGAACAAAACATCATGAAAGAGCTTGCTGTATTTCAAATTGAAAGGATTAGACAACAAAATAGTGCATTCAGCAAAGGAAGAATACAAGGCTGACATCGAGTGGCTAGAACTCCAGCACACTGCAAAGCAATGAGGAACACGGAACGAGGGCCACTGAGCACGCGATCGTTTGTCAGTAACACTTAAAACGGTATTGTGGAAGAGCAGATCACAACAGAAAGACAATAGCAATACACAATGCTCTCTTTGATATTGACTGCAGTCTCCAAATCATTCCTTTAAGTACAGAGAGACCGCATCTAGATAATTTCGAGTCCATTTCATTGATTTTTTAAACGTCACGAGTCACTTGGCAAAGTGTAGAATCAATAGCGTCGAACTCCCGTCCACTAACATTGCTTAGATGATCCCGTGTCCCTCTCTCGTCCTAAGAACATATCTAGAGCTCTCTCTCCCTATCCCCCCTCCCCCCTCTCTCTCCCTCTCTCTTCAACAGTCAATGTCCTGTCTTCTACTGTCTGGAACAGTTCACATGTAAATGTCTTTAACAGTCAATGTTCTTCTCTTTTTCACTCACTGTCGAGAACAATGTATGTCTGTTGTCCATTGTCAATGTCTTTAACAGTCATTGCCTTTCTCTCTTCCACTCACACTGTCGAGAACAATTGATGTCTATGTCGTCCATTGTCAGTACCTTAAACTCTCGAAGATGTTCTTTCTCGTGTCCACAGATAGTTCTTACAGATTACTGCCTTTTTCTCCCTCACGTCCGCTGGCAGCCAAGAATATGTACAGTAGGCGGTGCAGACTTTATCCACATGCTAGCATTCAAACGGGTCTATTACATAACTTACCGTTTTATTGAATTTTAACTCTCATTTCCCAGAGTAGTGTGCGTGTAAGACAGTTAAAATTTAGTTGCGTACTTAATTCATTCTTTAATTAAAGGAACTGAGTTAAAATAAATAAATCTGCTGACAAAATAAGAAGGGTCTTTTACAGGGAATCACTACGCCAGGTCAACTAGAAATGATGTATAGGAATTGTCTCTCCTAAGACATAATTTCATAGACTGAAAACACGAATGTCTTTAACGTTACCAGCAGACTGTCTATTACATGTACAATAGTTACAGTTGAATATATTTGGAGAGAGTGAGAGAAACACAAATGAAAAAAAATATAACGTCGGCCCTCGTTTTACACATCCTTTGATCACGTGTAAATGTCAGGTAATGACTATTTTCGCTGCTACATCACCAAGTAGCTGGATTTTAACAGGGGCATAAACCTTACAAAAGACAGATGTGTTTTTCTCACGATGTAAGGAGAGTTATCTCAATTCCATACAAACGACCCAATTAGACCGACGCCATTATTCTGCATGACAGAAATATGAGTGCAAAATCAGGGTTTTAATAATGGGAAATATAGTTCATATGGCAATCTGATTAATATGAGACTAGGGTGTGGGTAAATACATATTCTCTTGCAATCAATTTCTAAGAGTCATGTTACTTTAAAGGTGTTCACTGATAAAAAAAACAAATGAAATATTGTCTTTCTGTGACTTTTGTCAATGAATTATATCAGATCTTACCGACAGGTGTTGAAGGGGTTGATGTATCCGGTTCCGGAACAATAGTTGGGCCGAAGTTCGGCATTTCCGCTTTCTCTCGTTCAGACGCTAGGTGGTGTTTCCTTTCAACGGAATAAAATGTTATGCAGTTAAGAAAAAAGTAAATGGGATTCCTGCGAGGTATGACAAGTACGAATTACTAGCGTTATTGTAAACATGGTTGCAGCTATAATTTCTAAAATGTTGGCACGTGATTTAGTCCTCAGTCTACACACTGATAGATTTTCTTACCTCCACAGGAAAAGTAGAAGTGCAAATACAAGGATGAGGATAACAAAAGCGACGAGGACGACAATGATGACAGGCACGTGGTTACTCTCAGGGGCGGGGGCCACACTAAGAGCTGCAATGAAAATATAGAAAGATTAGAGAATTTCTATGCAGTTAAAGAAAATATGTAATTTCAAATTCATGTCGATTCAAACTTATTACCGACATGTTACAAATTTAAAATCCCAAATGTACAAACAAAGAGAATCACCAAAACGTAACGACGAGTTTGATAAGATGTTTTAAAACAATAAGCTTTGTTTTACCTTACTGAAAACACAAATGCTGGTGCATCTAGATAAAAAAAAGTGTGGGTTCTGTGAGAGTCGGTGTCTTGATTTATGGAAGACAGGTGAATCATGATCAGAAGGTAAAGATTGAAACATCTATGTGTTCCAGGGCAGTTAGCTTAATTCACATTGCTTGATACACTTGGCAGGTTTATTTTGATAAAAAAGGAATGTAACGTTCTCAAAGCCGGAAACAAGGTAGTAACAAGGAAACCATCAGGATACTGAACCATCGATGTTGATATATGAAACTAGAATAGAAGTGCTTTCAGGTGACATCCATGGGCAGAATGAATGGCAATTGGATAAGGGCAAATTCAATTAATCGTTTTTAGCTCTTCATGTTGGAGTTGCTTCATTCAGTAAGAATTAAGATAATGAAAAGGATTAAAATAACGACTAAGAGATGATAGTTAAAGGCAGTTCAATGCTTATATCTATCAGTTTCATTTTGTTATCAGGAAGGAATCCTGAATTTGTTTATGTTACATGTAATAGACCTATAATACAAAACAGATTTCTGTAAGGATAATGTCAAATTTAGACCTTGTTATGGCAATATCAATTTCTGATTAACTACAATAAGGATACGCAGGTAAGGTACGTAACCCGTATTTATGACACTCCCTTGGGGAATTTTACAGCTAAATGGGCGATATAAAAGTGCTGGCATAGAAGACAAAATATGTTAAATTCGCATAATAAAAACTTAACATTAAAAACTGCTTCAAGCTAATTTTAATATTTTAATACATTATTTGTTTTGTTTTATAATGTATTCTGTGTTTGGCCACGGAAAGTTTTTCTCGACGACAATCCAGTTTTCTGTATGGTTTCATTAAAACCTGTATGAATTTCTTTTTTTACATCAATATACAAGACATTTAATGGGTTTATTGTGTAGAGTATCGATGAAACACAGCAATGTCCTCGTATATCATCAGTAAGCAAACACACCATCATTTAATATATGACATACCGCATGCCCCAACCCATTTAACTTTCAGGTTCAGTGTGTCTTTTAAAACACAGAAACGATAAATATGTCCATTTATAATTTACAAGGCTTTCTATATCTCATGGGAAAAGATAAATACTGTTTCAGCTATGACACATTTACAGAATAAAGTTATTTGAGAACAACCGTAATAACTAGATCGGTTTCCAGAAAACACTTATCCCGAGAGGTTAACGCGGATAAGTATTTGATGATATTCATATCTGTATTTGATAGTATACATATAAGTTACATAAACGAATCAATCAATTTTTTCTATGTGTTACGGAAATATATCCCTATTACCAACTTGAACATTTTCTCGTCTTACTGTAGAAACCATTCATAAGACAAAATCCTACATACTAAAGCGTACGGCGAGTTAGTTTGTCTTACCGTTGAAACCATTCATAAGACAAAATCCTTCACACTAAAGCGTACGGCGAGCTAATTTGTCTTACCGTTGAAATCATTCATAACACAAAATTTAACATACTAAAGGGTACGGCGAGCTAGTTCGTCTTACCGTTTAAACCATTCATAAGACAAATTCCTTCCTACTAAAGCGTACGGCGAGCTAATTTGTCTTATCGTTGAAACCATTCATAAGACAAATTCCTTCACACTAAAGCGTACGGCGAGCTAATTTGTCTTACCGTTGAAACCATTCATGACACAAAATGTAACATACTAAAGGGTACGGCGAGCTAGTTCGTCTTACCGTTTAAACCATTCATAAGACAAATTCCTTCCTACTAAAGCGTACGGCGAGCTAATTTGTCTTATCGTTGAAACCATTCATAAGACAAATTCCTTCACACTAAGGCGTACGGCGAGCTAATTTGTCTTACCGTTGAAACCATTCATGACACAAAATGTAACATACTAAAGGGTACGGCGAGCTAGTTCGTCTTACCGTTTAAACCATTCATAAGACAAATTCCTTCCTACTAAAGCGTACGGCGAGCTAATTTGTCTTACCGTTGGAATCATTCATAACACAAAATTTAACATACTAAACCATTCATAAGACAAAATCCTACATTCTAAAGCGTACGGCGAGTTAGTTTGTCTTACCGTTGAAACCATTCTTAAGACAAATTCATACTAAAGCGTACGGCTACTAAAAAGCGTACGGCGAGCTAGTTTGTCTTACCGTTGAAACCATTCATAAGACAAAATCCTACATTCTAAAGCGTACGGCGAGTTAGTTTGTCTTACCGTTGAAACCATTCTTAAGACAAAACCCTACATACTAAAGCGTACGGCGAGCTAATTTGTCTTACCGTTGAAACCATTCATAAGACAAAGTCCTTCATACTAAAGCGTACGGCGAGCTAGTTTGTCTTACCGTTGAAACCATTCTTAAGACAAAGTCCTTCATACTAAAGCGTACGGCGAGTTAGTTTGTCTTACCGTTGAAACCATTCTTAAGCAAAACCCTACATACTAAAGCGTACGGCGAGCTAATTTGTCTTACCGTTGAAACCATTCATAAGACAAAGTCCTTCATACTAAAGCGTACGGCGAGCTAGTTTGTCTTACCGTTGAAACCATTCTTAAGACAAAACCCTACATACTAAAGCGTACGGCGAGCTAGTTTGTCTTACTTTAGAAACCATTCATAAGACAAAATCCTTCCTACTAAAGCGTACGGCGAGCTAATTTGTCTTACCGTTGAAACCATTCATAAGACAAAGTCCTCCGTACTAAAGCGTACGGCGAGCTAATTTGTCTTACTGTAGAAACCATTCATAAGACAAAATCCTTCCTACTAATGCGTACGGCGAGCTAATTTGTCTTAAAAGTATTCATCACACTGCAACCAACAGCGAACTTAATCTTCTCACTTAAGAAAATATTCATTATTCAATATCTTCCCATAGCCAATGGCGAGCTATCTATTTTTATTGTAGAAACAATTCATAACTCAAAATCCTTTTCACAGCAGCCAACAGGGAGTGCACTCTTACCACAGAAAACAATCAAATCTGAATATGTTTCTGAAGCTAACGGCGACCTAAATCATAGTACAGAACCGTCACAAGTAAACTATAGTATTTACCAACCCCAACTTACTGCATCCCAAACCTATGGTGTTTGCACGTCACATTGGGTTCGATTTGCAAGGACCTGTTCCCAATATTACGATTTTCTTGCAGCTGACAAACTCACAACATAGAGTTTCCAGAAATGAAGGCAGAAGGAAATGATTGGAAAGTCTTACAGTCGTCGTAACGATTTCACTGAGAACTAATCTATATCCTTATGAGATATGGAGAGGAAGTGTTTGATGCTCGTTAGTATGCCTAATGGTTTCGTTGTTGTTTAGCAAGTTTTCATTTAGAATCATGACTAATTTGGATTGACGAAAAAACCGCTACTCTTCCAGAACACCTGGTCTTATCTTTGTATTTTTTCAGGATTCTCAGTTTAAATCTGTCTTCTGTTCAGATTTTGCATTAGTTTTATTGATTTTTAGTTTATTTTATTGCCGCAAAAATCGCTACTCTTCCAGAACACCTGGTCTTATCTTTGTTTTTTTTCAAGATTCTCAGTTTAAATCTGTCTTCTATTCAGATTTTGCATAAGTTTGATTGATTCTGAGTTTATTTTATTGACGCAAAAACCGCTACTCTTCCAGAACACCTGGTCTTATCTTTGTATTTGCTCAGGATTATCAGTTTAAATCTTTCTTCAGTTCAGATTTTGCATTAGTTTTATTGATTTTAGTTTATTTTATTGTTTCTGTTGACATGTTGGTATTTTCTGTCATTGCCATAACTCAAAATACCAAATGGGCTACAAAGACTCCTTTCGTGTCCGTGGCTTAAAGGTTACAGTTCAATTTTCTACTTACCAACACCCACTGTACGCTCAGCTTTAGAGAACGATTTCCGTAATGTCTGAAACAAACCAGCGTGAATTATAGACAATAAAAATACAGGACTGTATCTCCAACAACAATATATAGAAATACAAAACCCCACAAAACAAGCATGGTTTACATACAACAACATTCCCAGCAACAATATTACGCCGTGTAAGGTATTTTAATTACTAAATTAACAAGGGTAATAATCACACGAGATAATTTGTTTATTTATTTACTTTTTTGTAACTACTTGTCACGCGGTTAGTAAAAAATTGATAATATCGGGATTCACAGATTCACTGTCCGATAGTGTCAGTACAGAGCTGCGAATTATATAGAACATGGGTCTGCACCATCGCAGTGTGATCTATCAACGATAAGACATCCATTCCTTTAAAAAGAACAAAAATGTAGTCATTTGCATGCAAATATAAACAGTGTAAACTGAAAGGTTATAGGTGTTGAAACTGTTTGTGTTAACCGGAGACAAATACATCAAATGAATGTTACAGAACTTCCGAAGTGACGGAGGCGCCGACACCACGTCTTCAACACTTTCCTGTAGATTTGCTTGTTACAAATAACCCTCTCCTGAAAATATCTACTTTGTCAACATGAACGGGAAAACTTTATCACGGAGTGTTACTGGTTCATCCATGACGTGCTATAAGGAGCTGAGAACACCGAACTGTCCTTTGTGATTAAACCTGACAAATACGGATGCTGAGCGTGTTTTAACGGTGGCATGTCATCTAGAGAGTGTTGTTTTGCTAATGTTAATTTACAACCATGCGCGTTCATATCTCTCTATTATAACGAATGCTTATTAACCTAAATTACTTTATTTATCATGTTAACTGTGCCAGAGTTCGTTAAGCATAACTAAATGTATCCTGACATTACATCTTTTTCTATCATCTCATTACGATATTGGCTTTCAGTTCACTCCGACAGAACAGGAATGATTGCTGGTACAAGACTGTCGCAAAAACAACATTCTCGAAAAGATACAATATAGCAGAGGACACGTTAGGTCGGTAATATGGAATATCACATGCTGATATCCTCATGAAGATAAAAAACAAATTTTGTTAATGTAAAGGAAGTGATGTATCACAAATATATCATTTAAAGAGAAATATTGAGCATTAAAATCGCTTTGTTAGCAAGTTATATATCATGGAGCATGCGCAGTAAAACCTGCGTTAGAGGAGCTATCATATGTCAACTTCTACGATAATTTGCTACGAACACTAACACTAAAACAGAAACGTTTAAAGGTTAAACCAATCCTGAGGTGAGTTTTAACAAAATACTAAAAATCCTACAGTTGGGAATTGGTAAGCGTTGTTTTCAAGCAAACTTGACACTTCAGATGCTGTTAACCAGACCCGTTCTAACCTTAATACGAAGATGTGGTATACAACCCCTTAACAAATCTTCCGGATAACTCTCGGAAGATTTTAACCCCTTAACAAATCTTCCGGATACACCTCGGAAGAATAAAACCCCTTAACACTACCTTCGGATACATCTCGGGAGACTAGAACCCCTTAACACTACCTTCGGATACACCTCGGAAGAATACAACCCCTTAACACTACCTTCGGATACATCTCGGGAGACTAGAATCCCTTAACACTACCTCCGGATACATCTTGGGAGACTACAACACCTTAAAACAACCTCTGGATAAGCTTCTCGGAAGACTACAGATACAGAAAATTGACTTGTTTGAAGCTAATATCACCAGTTGAATTTCAAAACAGGTTATTCACTGCGCTTGTAAGGGAGTTCGCAGCACCGGCGTGTATATCATGCTCCCTTGTGTGGCCATGGAATATCGTCATTGATTCTGCTATTGTTAACAGGCATCCCTCGTGTGTCAAGGCTAGGTTTAACTATCTTAAATTAGCAAACCAATTTGTTTATTTTCTTTGTCTATAAAATACTGTTTTTGGAGTCTAATGATTAAAGTTGAACATAATATCGTCATAAACTGCATGATCGATGTTGAAATGTTTCCGATTGTCGGAGTATATTGATGAACACATAAAATAGCCGGGAGTATTCGTGACAGTAAAACCCACAGTGGAAGAGTGATATATGTCTTAAGTAGGCAGGATACGTTGCAAATCGTTTTTTAACTTCATCAACACAAAATTTTAACTTGACTTAATCAAAATTTATTCAATTCACTATTTTCAAACTACAGCTATTGTTCATTTGACATAATTAAATCGCAAACTTGGGCTGCCAGTAGAGGTAAGGATGGCCTGCAACAAAATTTTTATACGTATCCCTGCTATTACAATTAGACAGACAGATCTACAGAGGGAATTTGACAGTCATTTATTGATTGTCCCTGTTCGGAAACTACATTGTTTTTATCTTTGCATGAAATTATAACCGTCATTCATTTATCTTTTAAATATTTAATCGAATTTGAAGCATCAGTTTTCCTACACGCGTATATGTTCTCATAGATTTACATACATGTCAGATTGAACAAGAAACACTCAAGTGAATAGCAATTTTCAATAAAATTTCAGTTAGATACACCAGGGCAAGACAGTTAATTAACTGCATCAGCATTTGTTACCCCTATTTTATACCGTGTTTACCTCATACACACGTGCACATGTCATTTACTCCTCTCTGTTTTCAATTTACGCATGTACACATGAGATATATTCCTGCAAATTTACACATACTTTTATACACGTATGTTTTATACTCTAGAGTGATTTTTTTATCTTATAGGATATTTTTTATGCGAGTCGAGAGAAGTTTCATATGAAAATCTCATATGAAATGGTAAATCATAGTGTTTATCCCATTTTTTGAGAAAAATTACATTTCAAGCAGATTCACCCACTTTGCTGCGCCATTTTCAATTGATGACGTACGTCATAATCAATGAAATGACTGCTCAGTCGATTTTTTACTGAGGCAGTCAAAGAAAAAGGCATAAGCGAATTCACACGGTCACTTGTGGAATATATGATAAATTCTAATTTGTTTTCTTTTTAAATTACACACATACATACTCCTATTTGTTGTTAGTAGAAACGTGTCACATATTCATGTTTTTTAATTAAACCGAGTGTTAACGTGCAGGATAGTCCCGCCTATTGAAAAATAACACAAGGTCGTTAATTCACAACGCATAAATCTTTCGATGTCGGGAATAACGGAAATTAGACAGCCATAAACCATAGGCCTCTTCGGCATTGACTTTTAATAATACGTTATTAGGAAACTTCTTACAACCGTGACACCAATAACAAAACATGAAAAAGCAAAATACGTACATCAAAAAACAGAAAAGTGAACGAAAACTCACCCCATCAACGTTAGAGAAGGCTCCGTACCATATGTCATAGTTCTGAGTAGGTACTAAAGGGGCGTTGTAATACCCATGGTATGTCTTATTGTCCCCAACCACGAACGGGGCTTTTAACTCGTCAGCAGTCAGTTGTGCTGCAATATAAGCCCCGATTCCCTTGGCACGGGCTTCGTAAAAGTCGGAACCAACATGGCGGACACGGTCTGGAATGCTTCTTTTCGTCAGACGTCCCGAACTCAAATTTTCAACTATCATTCGGTAAAAGCTGCAAAAGAATGAAAGCATTTTCAAACAAAATATCGGGTTATACTCAAAATATCGGGTTATACTCAAAATATCGGGTTATACTCAAAATATCGGGTTATACTCAAAATATCGGGTTATACTCAAAATATCGGGTTATACTCAAAATATCGGAAACGGGGGCAAAATATGAACTTAAGACTGACACGTGGAAAAGTGAAAAGTGTTCTTTAATGATAAACTTATTCTGTTTCCATGACGACACCCACTTTTAAATCTTGGTAAATCCAAGTAAACAATACCATGATCTTAATCGACAACAAGGTTAACAACGTCGATTCCATCAGATATACTAAAACAGTTAATAAACGGATTGATATTAAAAAACGGAAAAAAATTCTGTATCTTACATAGTGGTCATACAATGACCAGACATTCGCTTCTTGCATTCTGTTCAACACATCTTTTTAAATACTTTCACAAATTTTTGCATCTAAATTTCTTAAATATTAATTTTCACGATAGGTGTACATTTTACGTGTCTGTTATCATGACGGGTCTATTTTACTTTCAAGATTTATGGATATTTTCACGTGTACTTTCAGAACTGTTGTCCATTTTCTTTTTATCAACTTTGACGTCATTTTAACCGATCTAACCATTTGAGGGTTATTTATCACTGTGTCAAACGTTTCTTCATGTAACACAAGTGATAATATAATACAACCACAGCCCCAAGCACCCAACCATCACACCCGCAAAAATTGCTATATCGACTTCTATCTCTCTCCTTGGCTGATATCAGAAAATATGTGATTCCTTCTGACATTAACAAAAATCAAAACAGAACACTTTTTATGATTAAGTTCCTTAATGGGGGACAACCGCCCTGTAATATTCTGTGTGGTTGATGGCTGGCGCCAATACTCAATGAAGTGGCCACGCCCATTTCAAAAAGAATCGATCGTTGTGAGATTTTCCTCTAAAAACTCTACGTATACAGTTTAATATCAGTTGTTTAAGACCACATAAAGAATATGGTTCATGTAACAATAAGTGTATTTTAAAGAAAGCGATAGGAATTTGAATTGTGGTTGGAATCAAGTGTTCCTAAGTGTGTGTATATCCTGTTTGACATGACTACACCGCCAGCAGTGGATGTTATGACATCAAACATCACATTTTTATTACGACCAATAAATGTGTTTCTATAAAACCGACCATAATCGAAGACATTGACGTAGAGGTAAGATCGCTGTGTAATCTCGGGTCACCAGATAACACGGATTCCAGACAACGGGAACGCTCCATACATATATAACACGGCATTATTGATCCAGTATAATTCAATACATTTCAATTATATAGCAAAATGTATTTGTATAATGCATCGTGTAATTGGAGAGGTAGTTTGGGAGGTAAGATCGTTGTTGATGATGTTACCCTGCTGTATATTGGATTAGACCCCAGTGTGAACGCAGGCTGCACTCGTAATAACATGTCTTGTATTCTCATCACTTTTATACTGTCTCTAAGGTATATACAATACCCACTGACGGGTATCTATATCAAACAGCATTGGTTCTCATTCATTAAAAGCCACACTAGCATACATCCCCTTTATATCTCGCCCAAGAGACGGAATGAACATTGTCTATCGCATGGCAAAATACGTCACCAAGACTTGTGTGTCCACCATCACCTATCCGACCGGGAAACAAGCCACCCCAGGCCTCTGGTCCACTAATACCTATCCGACCGGGAAACAAGCCACCCCAGGCCTCTGGTCCACTAATACCTATCCGACCGGGAAACAAGCCACCCCAGGCCTCTAGTCCACCACCACCTATCCGACCAGGAAACAAGCCACCCCAGGCCTCTGGTCCACCATCACCTTTCCAACCGGGAAATAAGCAACCTCAGGCCTGTGGTCCATCATCACCTATCCGACCGGGAAACAAGCCACCCCAGGCCTCTGGTCCACCATCACCTTTCCGACCGGGAAATAAGCAACCACAAGCATCTAGTCCACCATCACCTATCCGACGGGCAAACAAGCCACCCAGGCGTCTGGTCCACTAACACCTATCCGACCGGGAAACAAGCCACCCCAGGCCTCTGGTCCACTAATACCTATCCGACCGAGAAATAAGCCACCAAAGGCCTCTGGTCCACCATCATCTATCCGACAGATAAACAAGCCACCCCAGGCCTCTGGTCCACCATCATCTATCCGACCGAGAAACAAGCCACCCCAGGCCTCTGGTCCACCATCACCTTTCCAACCGGGAAATAAGCAACCTCAGGCCTGTGGTCCATCATCACCTATCCGACCGGGAAACAAGCCACCCCAGGCCTCTGGTCCACCATCACCTTTCCGACCGGGAAATAAGCAACCACAGGCCTCTGGTCCACCATCATCTATCCGACCGGGAAACAAGCCACCCCAGGCCTCGGGTCCACTAACACCTATCCGACCGAGAACTAAGCCACCAAAGGCCTCTGGTCCACCATCATCTATCCGACAGATAAACAAGCCACCCCAGGCCTCTGGTCCACCATCACCTATCCGACGGGCAAACAAGCCACCCAGGCCTCTGGTCCACCATCACCTATCCGACGGGCAAACAAGCCACCCAGGCCTCTGGTCCACCATCACCTATCCGACCGGGAAACAAGCCACCCTAGACCTCCGGTCCACTAACACCTATCCGACCGAGAAACAAGCCACCCCAGGCCTCTGGTCCACCTTCACCTATCCGACCGAGACACTAGCCACCACAACAGGCCTCTGGTCGACTAACACCTATCCGACCGGGAAACAAGCCCTGCCAGCTGCTTTCTAACCTGTACCATAATAAAAAAGAGACTCACCTAATAGTTTTGTCGCTCGACGCCGTCAGCTTCACAGTTACTGTCGTATCAGTGTGTTCCATAATGTTCGGTATGGGTGGGTCCTTGGGATCTATAAAATCCAAGGACATTTGAATCATATAGGCCATTTCCAAAACCAATGCATGTAAACAAATCATTTCCGTTTTGATATTGTAACAGTACGCTCATTCAGTGCATATAACAAGGCATTCTACAAAGATCAAGGCCCGCCTCTTTTGATCTTTATTTTGTTCTATAGAAACGGACCCTTTCTCTTCTTTTTATATGGAATTTGAAAAAGCAACAATTAGGGACCTAGGGGAAAGATCAATCCAGTGTTTCTTGTGAGATGGCCACAACGATCTTTTAATGACAAAATACACGAGACATTTAGTGTTCTGATCAGTTCTATAACGGATTATGTTCAAGTAGGCGTTGATGAGAACATACACAGGGAATTTTACAAAAACGAAGCGTGAGTCATCTGGCATTTCTCAAAACATAGAAAAACTATGACTGAATGCAAGATGGTCGTCTGTCGACCATCCCGTTTTCCCGATTAGACTCAAAATAAATTGTGCTCAATAAAGAACCCACGGGAACCTACATATGAAATTTGAGAATGATTCATAAAGCATTTCTTAAGAAATATCGATAACAAATTATGAGCGTCAAACCCCAAGACTACCGCTCGTCAGTCATTTTGTGCTTGTATCCAAATGGACTATGCACAACTGAGACTTAGGGTAGCCTAAAATAACTTCTCTAGAAGTAGCCATAACTCTCTATGAACTTCTGATCAGTCCTAAAGACGAACTATGTACAACTCGTGACCAAGGCGAACCTACATATAGAATTTGAGAATGGCACATCCAGTGCTTTTATCTCGAAAAAGCGATAAGAATCGTTTCAGACGACGGACGGCGAGACGGACGGCGGACGAAGAGGTATTTGAGTAGTAAATGATGTAAAATCTAGGAGGACAAAAATACAATAATCATTCTATGAATATAAGATATAGCCAAGTCAAAACATTGGAATCTTACCTAGCGGTTTCGTCCAGACTGCTATCCGTGTGGATGGACCGGGCCCCTTGTTTGTACTTGTGTGGATGCTACAAAGGTACTTGGTAGCTGGTACCAGGTTACTGAATGTATGGCGGTGGACACTAGGACGGACATTGACCTCGCGACGCTGGTCAGGAGCAGCAGACATAGTCTCGACAGGGAAACACGACAACTGAAGTAGGGAGGAAACATTAAATCAGTGTTACACGTTGATACACGTTGTTACACGGTGTTACACTGTGCTACACGTTGTTACACGGTGTTACACGTTGATACATTGTGTTACACGCTGTTACAATATGATACACGTTGATACACTGTGTTAAACGTTGATACACGTTGTTCAACTGTGTTACACGTTGTTACACTGTGTTAAACGTTGATACACGTTGTTACACTGTGTTACACGTTGATTCATGTGTTACACGCTGTTACAATATGATACACGTTGATACACTGTGTTACACGTTGATACATTGTGTTACACGTTGTTACACTATGTTACACGCTGTTACACTATGTTACACTATGTTACACGCTGTTACACTGTGCTACACGTTGTTACACGGTGTTAAACTGTGTTACACGCTGTTACACGTTGTTACACTGTGTTACACGCTGATACATTGTGTTACACGCTGTTACAATATGATACACGTTGATACATTGTGTTACACGCTGTTACAATATGATACACGTTGATACACTGTGTTAAACGTTGATACATTGTGTTACTCGTTGTTACACTATGTTACACGCTGTTACACTGTGTTACACTATGTTACACGCTGTTACACTGTGTTACACTATGTCACACGCTGTTACACTGTGCTACACGTTGTTACACGGTGTTACACTGTGTTACACGCTGTTACACTGTGTTACACGTTGTTACACTGTGTTACACGCTGATACATTGTGTTACACGCTGTTACAATATGATACACGTTGATACACTGTATTAAACGTTGATACATTGTGTTACACGTTGTTACACTATGTTAAACGCTGTTGCACTGTGTTACACAATGTTTCACGCTGTTACACTGTGCTACACGCTGATACATTGTGTTACACGTTGATACACGTTGTTACACTGTGTTTCACGTTGATACATTGTGTTACACGTTGATACACGTTGTTACACTGTGTTACACGTTGTTACACTATGTTACACGTTGTTACACTATGTTACACGCTGTTACACTGTTACATGTTGTTACACTGTGTTACACGTTGTTACACTATGTAACACGCTGTTACACTGTTACACGCTGTTACACTGTGTTACATGTTGTTACACTGTGTTACACGTTGTTACACTATGTTACACGCTGTAACACTGTGTTACACGTTGTTACACTGTCTCATTGACAGGATTTTTCACAAACCGTCTGAACCAGCTATAAAATGGTGTTAACACTTACCAAATAGGACAGCAGCTGTCCGTTGCTAGATGGCGAGCTCTCCCAGATAAGACCGATAGAAGTTGCTGTCTTTGAAATATTTCGAAAATTATGAATTGGTCCCGGCACTACAAATTGAAACGAATAATGAAAACCTGTGGCCCGTATAGTAGACAGCGTCTGCACCACATCATATGGTAGTATAGTCGGATCACAACTGTCTTCAGATATTGTACCGCTGTCATAGACAAATCAACATCGTTTATGTATAATGATATCGTAGAAACAAAAGTTACAGACCATATGACTTCTTATATGTAAAATGAAAATATTAGCATATTTCAAAGTGATGTTTTTTTAACAATCGTGAAAGACATTCACATCAGAAACCATAAATTATAAATATCGGAACTTTGGTGAGGACTCGTAAGCTGACGAGTAACCTTAGTTGACGAAGTTCATTTCACTGTTGGCAGTGGCTAATGCTCTAATGAAACTTCACACAAAGGGTTAATTAATGGCCGTTTATATTACTAGTTACACTGGTCAAGTTTTAAGACCAAGTTTGGACAAGAAAACTAGTTAAACCGTTCTGTAACGTTACGTCATTTTTACAAATTTCCATAGAAATGAGTTTGTATGGCAGATGTTTTCGTCCAACACCACAGAGCTAGTTCATTGACGTCAAAAGTAACAACTACCAAGTCTGGTACACAAGTATATCCATTGTGCCCAGAGGAATACAGTCGTGAAACGGAAAGGAAATCTGGTATTTCAAGTTATTCCTGAAATCGTATAATGTTTCCCTAAAAAACTCCATCTGGGTTTTCCTAAAGTTTATGTTGGTTGGGGTCAGCACTTAGAACAGTTAATATTAAAGACTGGGTAATAACCATGTATGAACTGATTTTTGGTATTGACCTCGTCCAGTGCGTGTAGGTGAAAATGTTTCAGGGGATTAGTAATCATTAAGTATATGGTTTAGAAACTCAATTACAAAATTTGAGTTGTATGCTTGTTAATATCATCTGTCTACTTACAACCCTCTTCTGTAGCAACAACAAAGACAGCACTTGGGTCTCCATCACCAGCCGAATTCACAGCACGGATCTTCAAAAACGTAAGAAAAAATGTTTTTTACAGATGAATTGAATTTAACAACTTGTATTACCTTAAGTCAATGATGTGTATCTGACCGGGTCATTGTATTAACGTTATTTTACTGTTTTCAGATGTTTGCAGTCTGAAGCAACCTACCTCAATACTATAATTTGTAAAGGGGTCAAGATCTTCAAGAGTATGAGCAACAACAGCTGCTGCTGACGTCACTTCCTTTCCAATTTTTGTTGTAAACTCTCGACTGTCGGTTTTCCAAATGCCTAGATTGTACCTCATTGTTTCAGTAGGAGGACGAAATGGCTTCTCCCACGAAAGAGTCAAGCTAGAGCTGGTCCGTCTGATCAACCGAACATTTCGCGGAGCGGACGGTGCTAAAACAAAAGTGATTAGATGAAATAAACCACAACCATAATTCTAAACAATTTTATGGATTTGTTCAAATTAATGCCTCACTTCCAGAATTTGCTTCATCTTCTGTTTTTTTTATCTAACTGTGATGGAATCAGCCGAATCTAATGCAGAGATTAGTTAAATGACTTTTCTTACGCTGGGAACGACAATAAAGCATGCTTTCTGTGGCAAAGTCGACAGAGAAATACCATTGGGTGTAAAATGATTCATTTAAGTCTTGATATATAGTCTCATTTGGTAACACAATGTAAGCATTTGAGTAAATTATAGTTAAGGGTTTTCCTTGAAATTCTGATCAAGAAAATTTATTGACTTCAAAAAATCGTAAAATAAAATAAGGCTATTTAGTTTTGCTCATAATCTTCGTCAAAATAAACAATAAGATGGCAGCATAATTGGACTAGGACATAAACCAAGACAATTACACACCATGCAAATTTCGTTAAATCTCGATGTTCGCGTTACATCAAAAGAGGCCGACTAGTAAAAAAGATTTACAGGTACGCTACTGGTCGTAACTCGATATCCACCAACGGCTCAAATGGAATTTGTATGCGAATCTTGTCATCGCATCTCTAAAACGCGTTTTCAGTAGGAAAACTATTTTATACAGGTTCACAAGAAAGAGCAACTCGTTTCTAACAAAATTTATGGACATGGGGACAAAATGGAATTTGAATGCGCGTGATGCCTCGACGCGCGCGCTAATCGACCAGATCGTAATTACAATGACACATAAATTTTCACGCCGTAATTTTAATTAAAATGAACTCCATCTTGTCAAATATTCGCGTGCGTCTTCTCCATTGATGTTTGTACAGATTTGTTGAGCGTGTTAAATCCTACACTCCGATATTGACAGGCATCCAAGAAACCACGAGCGAAAATTTAACACACGCTCCGAGCCTTGCCACAAACGGAGTTGCTTTAGTCAACGCTTTCCAGAAAACATGTCGTTAAAAGAGGCATTACTTTTGTACTTTTTTCAAATAAAATACACATACATCATAAACATAGTATGACACAAGTAACCCGCATTATTGGTTTTGTTGAAAACAATTGCTTCCAATTTGAGCACACACTTAAACTTTAACGTTTTGATAGATTTCAAAGGTGTTACAGCGCTTCTCCGCAGAAAAGATTGGAGTCAAAACAGGAAGAACTTGTCTTAGTTCTATGTCTGTCTGATGTTCCGTGTGTTTAGTAACGTGTCTATGTCTGTCTGATGTTCCGTGTGTTTAGTAACATTTCTATGTCTGTCTGATGTTCCGTGTGTTTAGTAACATTTCTATGTCTTGTGTCCCGTGTGTTTAATAACATTTCTGTGTCTGTCTGATGTTTCGTGTGTTTAGTAACATTTCTACGTCTGTCTGGTGTCCCTTATGTTTAGTAACATTTCTGTGTCTGTCTGATGTTTCGTGTGTTTAGTAACATTTCTATGTCTGTCTGATGTTCCGTGTGTTTAGTAACATTTCTATGTCTGTCTGATATTCCGTGTGTTTAGTGGTACTGCTATCTCTGTCTGATGTTCCGTGTGTTTAATGGTATATCTATGTCTGTCTGGTGTCCCGTGTGTTTAGTAACATTTCTATGTCTGTCTTGATATTTCGTGTGTTTAGTAACACTTCTACGTCTGTTTGATTTTCCGTGTGTTTAGTAACATTTCTACGTCTGTCTGATGTTCCGTGTGTTAATTAATATTTCTACGTCTGTCTGATGTTCCGTGTGTTTAGTAACATTTCTACGTCTGTCTGATGTTCCGTGTGTTTAGTAACATTTCTATGTCTGTCTGATGTTCCGTGTGTTTAGTAACATTTCTACGTCTGTCTGATGTTCCGTGTGTTTAGTAACATTTCTACGTCTGTCTGATGTTCCGTGTGTTTAGTAACATTTCTACGTCTGTCTGATGTTCCGTGTGTTTAATGGTATATCTATGTCTGTCTGGTGTCCCGTGTTTAGTAACATTTCTATGTCTGTCTTGATATTCCGTGTGTTTAGTAACACTTCTACGTCTGTTTGATTTTCCGTGTGTTTAGTAACATTTCTACGTCTGTCTGATGTTCCGTGTGTTAATTAATATTTCTACGTCTGTCTGATGTTCCGTGTGTTTAGTAACATTTCTACGTCTGTCTGATGTTCCGTGTGTTTAGTAACATTTCTATGTCTGTCTGATGTTCCGTGTGTTTAGTAACATTTCTACGTCTGTCTGATGTTCCGTGTGTTTAGTAACATTTCTACGTCTGTCTGATGTTCCGTGTGTTTAGTAACATTTCTACGTCTGTCTGATGTTCCGTGTGTTTAGTAACATTTCTATGTCTGTCTGATGTTCCGTGTATTTAGTTACATTTCTATGTCTGTCTGATGTTCCGTGTGTTTAGTAACATTTATATGTCTGTCTGTTGTTCCGTGTGTTAAGTGTTGATTCCGTACTTGTCTTTGGGGTTGAAGTACAGCTCCGCTCCGATTCAGGGCTGTACTGGTCACGATTACTCTGGAAACTCATTGTTACGCAATACTCCGTAGCAGGCTGAAGATCCGATATGGAGGCGCTCTTCACTCCATTCATCCCAGGGGGCGTGGCTCCAGACACATGAACAGCCTGATTGTTACCTGCGTGTTGCGCATTGGAAATAGTGATCTGATATTGGCTAATATTATCACAATTCCAGGAGGACCGGGGTGGATCCTAAAACAAATCCGAAACAAACCCTGTTTATAAAGTCATTTCTGACAGTATATCTGAATATCAACAATACTATAACAGTTTTCGATTTCCATGTCTCATCACAAAAGTGTCGTTTCGTTAATTTTTTTTTATAATTACCTTCCATGTGACCACGAGTTCGGTCTGTGGGAAGGAACTGTTGTATTCAAACCCCGATGTTACCGTCCTCAAAATTGGTGGAAGCTCTGGAGCTACAAATAAACATACGGAACTTAATATCATTTATTAATTAAAATTAATTAAATGCCTTCATGTGCACCCACCACAGTTCACCTATAGGGAGCTCTTAACCCATATACTTCTGGAAAAAGATCGAACGTGACAGCGCACAAAAAAAAGCGTTATTGAGATAGCAGTGTATGAGAAGCAGGTACAACTCACCGTTCTTCCTGTTTAATAAACTCATTGTTTATCAGGCTTTGGAAATGCGGGTACTCCTTAATTCAAAACCAAAAACACACACAAGGGATTTATCAATATCTATTCACGTCCTGTTGCGCGAGCGGGTGTCTGATGTCAGTTTCACTTGGAGCATTTTTATGTTTTTATTCACCTGCATATTACAATATATACTCATGAAAGCCCGTTTTGTAACCAACGATAATTACATATATGTCTTCGATTTTACGACTAGTCTACCAGTCGCTCGTCTCCACCCCCACCCCCCTTCCCCCCTTCCCTAGTCTAATCTAATCTAATCAATAATCAATATGGTTGAGGTGTTGGACGCACAAAAACATTGTATTTTTAGATTCAGTTTGTAATTTCCTATACAATCATAGTAGCGCACAAGAATATGAATGAATCCACTGATTCTCATCACATCAATAACAAATGAGAACAGAAACAACCGGATGTTGTAAAACTGGTGGTTTTGTGTAAATGTAGAATATGTAGTGTGGTAATGGAATTTGCCGGTCCCCCGGAGTAATAGCCCTAATACGGTTGTAGCTTGTAACATTGTTAGGGGTGTCCCCGTGTGGGTAGCCTTTCATCAGCTCCCCTGTCTGACCTTTCGTGTAATAACACTAGTAATTCTAGATTTGGTCTCACTCTGCTTACACAGGGAAGATCTGTATCTGAATTGTATCGTCATACAAACTCACGGTCAATGAGAAATAGCGTGTAGTATAACGGTTACGAGAAACTTCAAATTATGAGGATATAAGGAAACGTTGGTATATTAGTTGCTCAAAGAATGGTTACAGGTTACCAGTTGTTACTGCAAATTTTCAAATATGAATTAAACAGATTTCGTAAGATTTTTGATCGTTTCACAGCTGTAGCTTTGTTGAGACAGGTCAGATATATATATTATGAGTGTTAGTTTTGTTTGTTATGCTCTTTTTCATTGGCGACACTTGAGATTTTTCAATAACTCTTACTGAACTTTGAGGAGCAACCGGGGCTTATTGAAAGATTTAACTTTATATTAAATATTTCAGATCGATGGGATATTCAGTGATAATGACACCATCTTGTACAATAATACGTCTTTGTGAAATCCCGAGATGATTCGTCTCCAATGGGTATCAATGGCAACTGTTCAGGAAATCCGATAGTTAATAAAAAAAATAAACATAAAAATGTTCCTTACAGCCGTGGTGATGGTATGTGCTGTATTTGTTGACCTACCTCCACATAATGTAGTGACGTTCAACGAGGGACCTGCAGGCCCATCTCCTCCCTCGCCATCACGGCGCGCAGAAACTTTGATGGCGTATCTGGTGTTAGGAAGGAGATCTGTGACGGTAAAGTTACAGTGAAACATGTACTGACAATTCATGTTTAAAACAATTCCCGCCAAACGTTCTGTGCCTTCCTGCAAGTCTTGCACCATGACGCTGTACCACAGGATGGGCGGGTCTCCAGTGTCACCACGCTTCCGGTCCCACCGCTGCCACCGGATGTGAATTTCTTTTATGCCTTGTCCACCATCAACTAGGAATGGGGGTCGACTTAAACGGGGAAGTTCTGCAGTATTAAATTTGAGAATCTATATCAGTGAAGATAAGGTGACAATAATATATCTGAAGTATTAGTTCCTGAACATGTAGTATAGTCCTATTTTTAAAACATCTGAAATAGCCAGGCAATCCTTCAGGAACTCGACCCAGTAATTTTTCTGATCAGAAATACAGCATTGTAAAATATGTAATAGGAATAATCTATTGTCAATATTGGAATGCTCCATTGTCAGTTTTAAAATATCAATTACCATTTATTTATTTATTTTGCCCTTTAATACAACCGATAGTATTCGACGTGCATTAATGTGATTGTAGTGTACAACAGAGTGTCCTTCGTCCACACCCCCAACACGTGGGGATAGTGCCGGCCATTAGACATATTAAAAACGTACCGTACACACTGGCGGTGATTGTGGTCGACGTGGTACCAGCCACGGAGTTAACAATACAAGTGAAACGGTCACCAGGATTCACGTATTCCACCGAGTATAAGTTAAATCTGACGTACAGGTACACCTCGAGTTCCCCTGTGTCCATCAGAGTTATCCTTCTCCGGGCGGGACCACGGATGACGATTTCACTAGCTTTAGGTGTAGGATAAGCCGTCACGGTACAATTGAGCGTTGTATTTTGACCAGGATTCACTTCAGTGTTTTCGAAAGACAATATTGTCGGCGGTTTCACTGTCAATACAAATCAAAGTATTGTATACAAAACATACAACTGCTACACATTTACGTATAATTTATAAATAAAACATGACATGATTTTAAAACTTCTTTGTATATAAACAACCGTATATAAGAATGAACGAACGTCGCTAAATGTGAGAGTTTCGTCCGATAATACTGCAATAATGCAAAACCGGAAACACATTTTGTGCAAGGCCCTTTATGTTCAATGATTAAAACAACAACTTTTCCGGAAAGGTCAGTTGTATCCACTTTTAGAATAGTACCTACCATAACTACAACACCAACAGTTCGTCCAAGGTGTTCATGAATAGGGATATATCGTACAGATGTTATAATCTGGTACTCCCTTGTGATTTTTTTGATTGAAGAACTGAGAGTTCTGTTACAATGGTGCATATTAAGCACGCCCTGAATTATCTCAAATTTTAATATCGTGTTTTGATGAAATTACCTTCTTGACAAAATGGCGGGTTAAAATATCCGGCTATACAGCGACATTGTTTAGAGGGTCCCGTAAACCTGTTACAATGTCGAGAGTCCTGACAGAAACAACGCTTGGAACAGTCCCACCCAAACCGATTTTCAGGACAGGCTATTGCTGAAAAACACAACATAAATATTGCTGGAAACAACGACATAAATATTGCTGGAAACAACGACATAAATATTGCTGGAAACAACGCCATAAATATTGCTGAAAACAACAAATAAATATTGCTGGAAACAATGACATAAACATTGCTGAAAACAACAACATAAATATTGCTGAAAAACACACCATAAATATTGCTGGAAACAATAGCATAGATACCGAAGTATTCAAAAGATTTTATTTAGGAATAAACAAACATTGTTAAAGGCCAAGGATGCCTTAAAACACATGTTGTCTTCTTTAACAAGGCGAAAGTAGCGATAAATGTTCGACATAATAATATTCTCATTGTCTGGGATTGAAAGTTTGTAAGTTAAAACACGAAATTTCAATAAGACATCGTTACCGATCTATTGTTAGCATCGATGAAGAAAACAAAGTGTGACTGCAACCACTGAAGGCAACGCACATCGGCCTGGCCTTGATACGTTTTTGATATTAAGAAACGTGTTATATTCAATGTCTGATTTTAATTTGATGGCCGTTTCGCTGTTTTGACGTCACGAGGTTTATCCGTATAGCCGTTGAAGGTTTTTGGTTGACTATCATTTCGGAAGTGCTTTGGTACTTCAATGTCGCTCAGCATCAGATTCCCGTTACAATGAATAATTCATTGTCCTTTCCCATAATCTTATGAAGGGCCGACATCAGTCATCCATTTTATTCCTGCTTGGTTCAAAATTACCAGCGTGATGGATAATCATGGTTGTTTCATTGATGTTTTATGTCCAATGTTTATATCTCACAAGAAATAACGACCCGCCCCCTAAGATTCACGAGCTTCGAGAGACGTTAATTTAAACATTTAAAATGCATTTTCCATTTTAATAAATTAAATGTTTCATCCTACAGGCTGTCTTCGGGTGATCATTTGACAGTCTGTTTCTACCTTTTTTTGTATTGACTTCAATTATCTGTAAAAGAGATGTTGATCTGTACCCAGCTGCTTGTAATACATATATATATATATTTTAACATCATTATATAACGATCCAAAGCTCAGGGCATGAAAAACAATATCTACTGAATTGATAAATTCAGGCCGGGATACTTCCATTAGATATGTATCGCTTAATTCCACAACGATTTGATAGAGTGTCTTTGATGCACCACGATTTTTCCAATCTCCAAATCACGTGACTTTATCCGAGATCTTAATAACTTCGTTTAATTGGGTTGGTTACTCTCGTCCTTAATTCCCACTGATCAAAGCTTGCTTTGTGTATTACAACATAACTCGATATTATCGCTCAGGTATATCATAAATACCTTCCTACATCAGGATCGATAACTCTAGGAAAGTTAATTTTATATGAATCATTCATTTTGTTCAATAATTCATTCAAACGGTAACTTGTGCTTTCCTTGTCATAAACCCGCCAACACCTCGCACCTGCAGCCGGCATGAGTAACGACCGTGTGCCTATCTCTGACGCACGCGGACAAGCACGGCCATTATGGATGCTGACAAAACATGCACGACCAATATGGTTTCATGTGTAAAATGGTCGATGCTCTTACATATACCAGCTAAGGACAGCAACAACTTCATTATCTGTATATATTAATGTAGATCCCTTCAGCGGTCTTTTAAACTGCTTAATAGTAATCTAATGCTAACATGTCCATATAGCTTTCTCTCGACCACCTGCTACCAAATAAACACACGCGTTCCTGCGAAACTGAATCTAGTTATCTATAAGTGTTATAGCAACTGCCGGAAAAAAAACGGAGAAAACTAAGAGGGAAAGTTATGTCAACGAGGAAACTTTCATTTTCGAAGTGAAATATCCTGTGCACTTAATGTTGTTTGTTCATGAAAATGTCGTTTAGTTGAAATTGAAAACGAGCATCGAATATGTTTAACTTCGTGGTTCCGAACAAAAAATTACCTGTGTATCGATTATAACTCTGAGAACGAATGTTCTCCGGTCGAAATGGTTGCAATCTGTTTTTATACTGTCGTATACGCCTTCAAACTGGTGTAAACATAGTCACAGTCCCTACTGTTTTTTCCTGTCTTTATAAAATTCCCAGTCCCTACTCTTCATCCTTGTCGTTACAATGTCTCCAGCCCCCACTCTTCATCCTTGTCGTTACAATGTCTCCAGCCCCCACTCTTCATCCTTGTCGTTACAATGTCTCCAGCCCCCACTCTTCATCCTTGTCGTTACAATGTCTCCAGCCCCCACCGTTCATCCTTGTCGTTACAATGTCTCCAGCCCCTACTGTTCATCCTTGTCGTTACAATGTCTCCAGCCCCCACTCTTCATCCTTGTCGTTACAATGTCTCCAGCCCCCACTGGTTATCCTTGTCGTACAATGTCTCCAGCCCCCACTGTTCATCCTTGTCGTTACAATGTCTCCAGCCCCCACTCTTCATCCTTGTCGTTACAATGTCTCCAGCCCCCACTGTTCATCCTTGTCGTTACAATGTCTCCAGCCCCCACTCTTCATCCTTGTCGTTACAATGTCTCCAGCCCCCACTCTTCATCCTTGTCGTTACAATGTCTCCAGCCCCCACTGTTCATCCTTGTCGTTACAATGTCTCCAGCCCCCACTCTTCATCCTTGTCGTTACAATGTCTCCAGCCCCCACTGTTCATCCTTGTCGTTACAATGTCTCTAGTCCCCACTCTTCATCCTTGTCGTTACAATGTCTCCAGCCCCCACTCTTCATCCTTGTCGTTACAATGTCTCCAGCCCCCACTCTTCATCCTTGTCGTTACAATGTCTCAAGCCCCACTCTTCATCCTTGTCGTTAAAATGTCTCCAGCCCCTACTCTTCATCCTTGTCGTTACAATGTCTCCAGCCCCCACTCTTCATCCTTGTCGTTAAAATGTCTCCAGCCCCCACTCTTCATCCTTGTCGTTAAAATGTCTCCAGCCCCCACTCTTCATCCTTGTCGTTAAAATGTCTCCAGTCCCCACTCTTCATTACTGTCGTTACAATATTCTAAGCCTTCACTGTTCATCCTTGTCGTTACAATATTTCCAGTTCCCACTGTTCATCCTTGTCGTTACAATGTCTCCAGCCCCTGCTGTTGTGTATGACACAAATCAATCTGAAGCTATCCGGAATTCAGTAGTTATTAATGATTACACGCGCAATTCCAGGCAATTTTGTAATTTCTTACAATTCCCGGGCTTGTTCATGCACAGTAATAGCGACCCCGTTACTGACACAAAGGAACCTTTTTGTGAAGGATTCGGTAGTGACACGCAGGTAGAAATTAAGATACAAACATAATGATCATCAATTTTCCCTTGTCATGTACATGTTTGTAGAAGTAAAAGTTGCCATGCCGATCATATGTGCAGTGTATGTAGTTTGAGTTTTTGAGTTTTGAGTTACCCAGCAAAACATATGTACATTGGAGTGTTAATAAGTAGATAGGAGTAAAAGTTGAGTTGCCCAGTTGCTTACATGTATGAAGGAGCAAAAATTGTGTTGCCCTGCATTGTAGGAGCAAAAGCTGAGTTGTCCAGTTGTGTAGGAGCAAAAAGTTGAGTTGCCAGCCGTATACACGTAAATGGATGCAAATATATGTAGGAGCAAAAGCTGTTTTGCCCAGCTGTGTAGGAGCAAAAGCTGACTTGCCCAGCTGTATACACGTAAATGGGTGCACATGTATGTAGGAGCTAAAGTTGAGTTGCCCAGCCGTATACACGTAAATGGGTGCAGATATATGTAGGAGCAAAAGCTGTGTTGCCCAGCTGTGTAGGAGCTAAAGTTGAGTTGCCCAGCTGTATACACGTAAATTGATGCACATGTATGTAGGAGCTAAAGTTGAGTTGCCCAGCCGTATACACGTAAATGGGTGCAGATATATGTAGGAGCAAAAGCTGTGTTGCCCAGCTGTGTAGGAGCTAAAGTTGAGTTGCCCAGCTGTATACACGTAAATGGATGCACATGTATGTAGGAGCTAAAGTTGAGTTGCCCAGCTGTGTAGGAGCAAATGTTGAGTTGCCCAGCTGTGTAGGAGCAAAAGTTGAGTTGCCCAGCTGTATACACGTAAATGGATGCACATGTATGTAGGAGCTAAAGTTGAGTTGCCCAGCTGTGTAGGAGCAAATGTTGAGTTGCCCAGCTGTGTAGGAGCAAAAGTTGAGTTGCCCAGCTGTATACGTGTACGTAATCCGCTTCAATGACTTTCTATACTTGACTGTGCTTTGATTGGCTGATTCGCAGACTGTAGGTGTGATAAACGACTTTGCTCAGAGAGGAAAACTTAAGATAACCTTTGTTCGTTGTTTACAGCAAAATCTGACGTTGTTTCTTCATACTTTTGGCTGCCTTTAGTTAAACGCTTTATGTATAACACGCTTCGATTCTGTCCGTTACCTCAGACGTTAATCTCTAACCTCCACGTGCCGTTTCAGTACGATTTAGGTGTTTGTATAGCCAATTTATTTCTGAAAATCCGGAACGTCCATGATGTCTTAAACTACTCTTCTTTAGCTATAGTTTTTAAAATTTTGATCTAGCGTTTTCAAACCGTCGTAATGAAAGTCGGGAAAACGGACAAGATGGAAGAGCTATGTTAGGGATCGAAAACAGCACACTCCGGGACAATGGCTATAAATTACCATTAGCCCTAATAGGGAAAAGGTTAGATGCATGAATACATAACAAAACCGTAACGTATATAAGCCTGTGTGTTTCCGTTTAACATGACATGCATTTCTGAAATAAGGTGTTTCTTAAATTTATCTTCCATCGAAAAACCGACAAGGATTCTTCTTTAACACAGGGGTAACATTAAATCACAGCTACGGATGAAATCTTCCGGAGAAAACACAATAAAACGTTATGTTTTGCCTTTTTTTCCGTATAAAAAAATCAAATCAAATCAAAACAAAAGGCTGAAAGGGCTTAAGCGGTCACCCGAGTTATACATTGCTTCTTGTAACACCTCATTGAAATAATCTTGTTAACATAATAAGATGACTTAACCAGAATTTTACTTGTAATGTAAATGTAAAATTGTACATAACATTGACTGCTATCCTATTCTAACCACATCTGAATTGAGAAAAAAACGTGGCTAAAAGTACAATTGTCCTATATAAAGTACAATAAACTATATCCCTTCCTAGGGAGGAAATGTCAGATCTTGGGGCCAGCCAGAATCAGATTGTACTATCGTCAAATACTTATTATTTTGACCAAATCTGAAATGATTTCATTGGAAATCAAACAAGTTATGCTCAAAAATGTAACTTTCCAATACAAAATGTAAATTATAATAAATATACGTCCCCTCCTTGGAGGAAAATGTAAGACCCTGGGGTTTTGGGAATTCCCAGTTTGGGTAAAGCACCTAAGATCTTTCCATCCATGAAAAACATTCGATTGTATCATATTGGAGTGATGAGAAGAATACTTTTTTTTAAATTCCAGTCAATTTTACTCATTTTGCCCCTGCGTCCAAGGCCACTGGGGGACTATATAATTTACATGTACAATATTTCACCAAAATCGGTTCAGGGATTTTCAAGATGTCGAAAATGTTTAGGATGCACAATCTAGGACATAGGAAAACAGCTCACCGTTTTAATCCATATAAAGAGATGAAATTACATTATGTTGTATGTTCAAAGAGACATGTGATCTATACCAAACTGATTGACTAACATCCTGGTTCTGCTTTAATCTTGTAATAGAAGCATATATTGTATAATATTCATTTTGTACGGAAATGTTAAGTGATATAACCTACAGAACTCTCTACATACTGCCAAAGCGTGCAGCTCAATGAGATAACAGCGAGTCTCTATCTTCTTCAATTTTACATTCTATATATATATTGTATATAACGACATCAAATGATTGATTACACGGGGATTTTGTTGTCATTCCATTAATATCCTGTTTAAAGCGCCAGGAACGGAATATTGAACCATGGCGCATGCGTACCTTGCTGGCAGTCATATCCGTCCCAGCCTAGGGCACATCCACTGGAACACATCCCCAGGATACTATCACATGCCTCGCTCAGATCGGCACAATGACACTCCTTTATGCAGTTGTCGCCGAATCGGCCGGCTGGACAGTCTGCAATACAAAAAATTATCATCGTTATTTTAATAATCTGAAACACAAAAAAAGTCATCATTTCCGAAAAATATGGACACAAAAAATAACGGCACTGGCAGTCTGGAAAACACACAATATGGAAATTGAAAGAGATACAGTGTACAGCACAACACTGTTATTTTTGGATAGGTAGGAATACATACAACACGTCTGTTTGGAACACGAACTGTTTTCAGTGATAGTCCGAAATTAATACAGCAAAATTTGGAATACAGACAGTTCGAACCACAAACAGCATGGGCGCTGACAGTGCGAGCACAAAAAACATTTTCATTGAATATTTGTTAAACAAACAGTAAAGTCATTTACAGTTCGGAACACTAAAACCAAGAGGAATGACCGCCTGAAATACAAATATCATTATCATTGATCGTTCGGAACACAACCAGAATGTTCGCTAACATTGTGGAATACAAAGGGCTTTGCCACTGCCAGTCCGGAACAAAAACAGTATTGTCAGTTTAGAGTTTGGAACACTTAGCCATTGTCATGTACAGTTTGGACGACAAACAGAATCCATGGGACTGGGATATCTGTGGACTGTGATATCTATGGACTGGGATATCTGTGGACTGGGATATCTATGGACTGTGATATCTGTAGATTGTGATATCTGTGGACTGTGATATCTATGGACTGTGATATCTATGGACTGGGATATCTGTGGACTGTGATATCTATGGTCTGGGATATATGTGTACTGTGATATCTATGGACTGGGATATCTGTGGACTGGGGTATCTATGGACTGGGATATCTGTGGAATTTGATATCTATGGACTGTGATATCTGAGGACTGTGATATCTATGGACTGTGATAGATATGGACTGTGATATCTGTGGACTTTGATATCTGTGGACTGTGATATCTATGGACTGTGATATCTGTGGATTGTGATATCTATGGACTGGGATATCTATGGACTGTGATATCTATGAACTGGGATATCTATGGACTGGGATATCTGTGGACAGTGATATCTATTGACCGTGATATCTGTGGACAGTGATATCTATGGACTGGGATATATGTGGACTTGGATATCTGTGGACTGTGATATCTATGGACTGGGATATCTGTGGACTGGGATATCTGTGGAATTTGATATATATGGACTGTGAAATCTATGGACTGGGATATATATGGACTGTGAAATCTATGGACTGGGATATATATGGACTGTGATATCTATTGACAGGGATATATTTGGACTGTGATATCTATGGACTGGGATATCTGTGGACTGGGATATCTGTGGAATTTGATATATATGGACTGTGAAATCTATGGACTGGGATATATATGGACTGTGAAATCTATGGACTGGGATATATATGGACTGTGATATCTATTGACAGGGATATATTTGGACTGTGATATCTTTGGACTGTGATATCTGTGGACTGTGATATCTATGGACTGGGATATATGTGGACTGTGATATCTATGGACTGTGATATCTGTGGACTGTGATATATATGGACTGGGATATCTGTGGACTGTGATATCTATGGACTGGGGTATCTATGAACTGGGATATCTGTGGAATTTGATATCTATGGACTGTGATATCTATGGACTGTGGAATATATGGACTGTGATATCTGTGGACTGTGATATCTATGGACTGTGATATCTGTGGATTGTGATATCTATGGACTGGGATATCTGTGGACTGTGAAATATATGGACTGGGATATATATAGACTGTGATATCTATTGACAGGGATATATTTGGACTTGGATATCTATGGACTGTGATATCTGTTGACTGGGATATCTATGGACTGTGGACTGTGATATTTATGGACTGTGATATATGTGGATTGTGAAGTCTGTGAACTGTGATATCAATGGACTGTGGAATGGGATATCTATAGACTGGGATATCTGTGGACTGTGATATCAATGGACTGTGATATATATAGACTGTGATATCTATTGACAGGGATATATTTGGACTTTGATATCAATTGACTGTGGAATGGGATATCTATAGACTGTGATAAATATGGACTGTGATATCAATGGACTGTGATATCTGTGGACTGTGATATCTATTGACTGTAATATCTATGGACTGTGATATATATGGACTGTGACATCTATGGACTGGGATATATGTGGATTGTGAAGTCTGTGAACTGTGATATCTATGGACAATGGCATCTATGGACTATGACATCTTTGGACTATGACATCTGTGGACTGTGATATATGTGGACTGTGATATCTACGAAGTGTGATGTCTATGGACTGTGATATCTATGGACTATGACATATTTGGACTGTGATATCTATGGACTATGACATCTGTGGACTGTGATATCTATGGACTGGTATATATGTGGACTGGGATATCTATGGACAGTAATATCTGTGGACAGTGATATCTATGGACAGTAATATCTGTGGACTGTGATATCTATTGATAATGATATTGATGAACCGTAATATCGAATGACTGATTTCCAAATACGTATATACATGTATCTTTATGTACACTTAAAAGAACATGACAAACTCTGTACATTGTCCAGACCCTGGACGAGACCGGGCTGAGTGTTTTCTGAGCTAAATACCATCATATGTGTTAAGGTATAAATAATTTACGCACGTGCCTCATGCACTTGAGCTGAAGAGCTGCAGGGAGCAAAACTATGGTGACATTTCCTTTTCATTATAGAAACGCAATTTTCTAACTTGTGACGGTAACATAACACCAGTTAATGTCTATCAACTTACTTCGTCATCAAAAACAAAACTACCGCTGACAATCCGTTTATTTTACCCTATATATTCCTCAGTATTTCTCTTGGTAAAATGCATAGAAATCAATATTGATCAATGTTTCATTAAAACGGATGCAATTTTAATTCACTGTTGGATTTGGGTACTTAAACTGTTCTGTCAATTAAGCAGCCATCTGTTGCTTTCATAGCTATTCGTTTTCATTTTGGACTAATTCATTTCAATATCAAACTGTAGTTTTACAAAAATAATGCACTTTTAAAGTGCTTTCTAGTGGTGAACTTCTGTCAAATGCACCAACATATTTCATCTTGACAACGTTTCTGCTTGGACATTATGGGAGCGTTTCTCCATGGAGGAAGAAATTACAGTTTCATTCAAAACCCCCATATGATGGAAATTACAACAAATCAAGTCACAAATAATTAAAATAATGATGTTTCAAGAAGCAACCTCTTAATGAAGTTTCAAAACAGCCAGAAAATTTCATTATAAAATAATGATTACATTGACCTTCATGATAGCCTTTAACCTTGACCCTTGATCTAAGGAGCGGTTGAAATCGATGAAATATTATAAATGACTTTGACTGATGATAACCCCTTCAGAGGAAGGAACTTTGAAACCGATGAAATATACGTTATAAAGGATCTTAATTTTTCACCGATGACCACAAATTTCGACCAACAGGAAGCAATGAGCTATGTGAATTATCAGTATTGTTTATGATGCCTATGAAGTGACCCGCTGACCAGCTTATAACTATGTACTTCTAAGCTTAATCAGAGTTATCCAGCTTCTATAGCGTCCGTACAATTAGAATACAGAGAAAGAGGTCATTCTACAGTGAAAACTTCATTGTGTCTGAAGTATCCGCCGACATACTCACTGCAGTTGTTTATATTACAATGTTCCCATCTGTTGTTAACGTCCGTGGTATAACACCACGGACGCGCAGAGTCTTCCGTCGTCCGACAGTAATTATTCGGCATTGTCTTGTCCGGGAACTGTTCGGCACTTTTGTATGCGTGTCGGTGAGGCGTCTGAGAGTCCCAGCTCTGACACTGATACAGGTCGCTTGTAATAGATTTCGTCCCCAAGTAGGACATTGCTTGCCCATTGTAAAAACAGTTGTTGGCTGAAATAATATTGAGGTAAAAATGAAAAAGTGATTTCGACTTTTCAAAAAAAATGTTTCATTGCATGTATTTCATTAACATTATCCAAAAATTAACGTGCACATAAGTATAACGACTTACATCATCCGTAACATGACAGTAAGAACTTGTTATTTGACAAAAGTAAATATTATACCATTCAACCTACAACTTATATGACATCAGTGTCCTATTGGAAACAAGTATACATGACGACGTAATCACAGCCTACAGCCTATATGACATCAGTGTCCTATTGTAAACAAGTATATATGACGACGTAATCACAGCCTACAGCCTATATGACATCAGTGTCCTATTGGAAACAAGTATATATGACGACGTTATTACAACCTACAGCCTATATATGACATCAGTGTCCTATTGGAAACAAGTATACATGACGACGTAATCACAGCCTACAGCCTATATGACATCAGTGTCCTATTGGAAACAAGTATATATGACGACGTATTCACAACCTACAGCCTATATACCCTGTTACAGCCTACAGCGTGTATAGGACGTAGATACCCTGTTACAGCCTACAGCCTGTATATGGCGTAGATACCCTGTTACAGCCTACAGCCTGTATAGGACGTAGATACCCTGTTACAGCCTACAGCCTGTATAGGACGTAGATACCCTACAACTTACTAGATATTACGGCGTTGATACCCCGTTACAGCCTACACCCCGTATAGGACGTAGATACCCTGTTACAGCCTACCTACAGCCTGTATAGGATGTTGATATCCTGTTACAGCCTACAGCCTGTATAGGACGTAGATACCCTGTTACAGCCTACCTACAGCCTGTATAGGATGTAGATATCCTGTTACAGCCTACAGCGTGTATAGGACGTAGATATCCTGTTACAGCCTACAGCCTGTACAGCCTACAGCCTGTAAAGGATGTATAGCCTGTAAAGGATGTTGATATCCTATATTCTACTCAAAATCCGTTTGACTTACGTACAGATTGAGACCGCTATCGTGAAGTCAACTTATTGACAGATCAGTTCTATAAAAGTACATTGTACAATAATGTTATTGGCGAATTGAACGCTCTGTTTCGCTGACTGATCCGATCACACATTTACGGCAAATTTGTGAACATAAATTGACAATCATGTCAGATTTAGTGAAAATACGCGACCAGTAAAATTGTAAACGAATCAATTAAGAAATTGATTATACTGCATTTTGTGTTAAACCGAAACACGTATTCCATTTTAAACATCAAACTATGTTATTTCATTCTGTAAAGTGTCATTACCGTAACAAAATGGTGACATTTTAGTGTACAACTCTTCAGAGGAAGGGTGTCACTCCAGACAGGGAAGATGCTGGGAGGTTAGAGTGGTATCGTTTTGTCTTGTAAACGGCTGTTTCCATCAACGTGCCGTGAACTACAGCATTCACTCTGAGCAATTATACTTGCACGATTAAAGTATTTTCTTCTTTCAGTTCAAGTACAATTTACCCCCGTGGTTTCACGACAATACACGAAATTGACGACGAATATTAGGCAGACGTCAATTGAATTAGGCGAAAATAATCAAAGAAAGTTTAATAATCATAATTGAACCTAAAACTATCATTAGTGGAATACAAGCCTCCTAGAAATGAATCTTTTTTTTAAGTAAGATAGATAAGTATTCTTGAAAAACTTCCGTATGTAACCATGAATTTATCAAATAGATGACTCTTAAAATCTCTTCTTGATATGAATCATTCTCAAAGTGGACATAGTCAAACTTGGTAAAATCCGAGTATATGTATGATAACTTTATTCAGAAACATTTTGAAACCAAGAAATGTAAATATACTTCGGTACCAACACAGGAAAGAAATCTACCGCCCTATATTTGCACTTGATGACCTCAGATTTCCACTAAAATTTACCATATATAAATCATTATAACAGCGGTAGTGGGTTCAATTGAACGGCAATATCATACCGGAAGCAGTAGTTGGCGCCACCACGGCGCCATAGACGACACCATGACAACAACATAATTTCAACAGCAAAAGATTAAATTGATGTTTTCATTAACTTTTTGCGAATAGATATATCACGTAACCTGACATCGATGCATCTTGCATGTCTCTTCACATTTAAACCACGTTAATAAAAAAAAAAAAAAAAAAAATCAGATTTAGGCATACATCGCGCATTTACAAACGGTACAAATTATGAAAAGACTTTTTTATGTTCAAGTTTAATCACCACGCGTATCTAGAAACAATATAAAGTAATTGTAGGATGGGCTCTCAAGAGTTCCGAGAAAATTTTTGTTAATTAATATTCTTTTACTTCAAAGCGGACTAATTTCTAAACAAAACAAACTATTTTATTATTGAGCTTTCCCATGTACCGAATTTTAATCCGTGAAAAAAATATTTGTAATCTATGACACAACTAAATTTCTCCACACAACATTTTACCATTGTTGTTTTTCGTGTTCTCATTCGGGAACGTAACATTACTTATTTCGATTTACCACGAAGCAGAAGAAACTTCTTGAGCACCAAGTCGTATGTTCCTTGTATTTTTACAGTAGTCTAAGTTTAATTATTTCTTTCTTATTATTATTTTGTTCCATTGAATTTGAGTTTATCATGATTCTGCTGACATCTGTATCGCAAAACATAGCCCAAGTATATTTTTCGAAACATCGATATGTTGTGTTGTCCAGCGGTATTTCGTCTGGTACTGCGAGTCACTCTGGGAAAAGTTACTCCATTTTAAGAATTTTCTTACCAAAGACTTAATGTCCTGTGTTGAAATTTAGATATATCAGCTTTACAAACAGATAAATTTCGATAGAAACAGACATAGATATTGATCATGTTTCCTTTTTTCGGGAGAAAAGGTGAGAGACTTACAAAGTTGGCAGCCTGGTCCCCATTGATGGTCTTCACATTCGTCCCGGATACACTCGCCTGTCACCTTATCACACGTCTGGTAGCGCTTACATCGGCACTTGGAGTTACACTTGTAGCCGAATGTGCCATCCCGACACTCCTCCTGGAGGGCGTGCAACTCGTCTGTGGGCAAAACAGAGGGAACGTTAGATATCAAGGCTGTAACATTCATCTGTGTTGTGGCAAAACGGGAGTTAGATTAAGTCAATATTGTTTTAGGCTAAAAATAGTCTAAATTTTCATCAGCATTAACTATCAAAGACGTGCATGTTATACGGGATAGTCAGCTTTAAGTATGTTTATCCGTGGGCAAAACAGTAGAGGGAGATAGTCAACTTTAAGAATGTTTGTCCGTGGGCAAAACATTAGAGGGAGATAGTCAACTTTGAGAATGTTTGTCCGTGGGCAAAACAGTAGAGGGAGATAGTCAACTTTGAGAATGTTTGTCCGTGGGCAAAACAGTAGAGGGAGATAGTCAACTTTGAGAATGTTTGTCCGTGGGCAAAACAGTAGAGGGAGTAGTCAACTTTGAGAATGTTTGTCCGTGGGCAAAACATTAAAGGGAGATAGTCAACTTTAAGAACGTTTGTCCGTGGGCAAAACAGTAGAGGGAGATAGTCAACTTTGAGAATGTTTGTCCGTGGGCAAAACAGTAGAGGGAGATAATAAACTTTGAGAATGTTTGTCCGTGGGCAAAACATTAAAGGGAGATAGTCAACTTTAAGAACGTTTGTCCGTGGGCAAAACAGTAGAGGGAGATAGTCAACTTTGAGAATGTTTGTCCGTGGGCAAAACAGTAGAGGGAGATAATAAACTTTGAGAATGTTTGTCTTTGGGCAAAACAGTAGAGGGGGGCAGTCAACTGGAAGAATGTTTGTCCGTGGGCAAAACATTAGAGGGAGATAGTCAACTTTGAGAATGTTTGTCCGTGGGCAAAACAGTAGAGGGAGATAGTCAACTTTGAGAATGTTTGTCCGTGGGCAAACCAGTAGAGGGAGATAGTCAACTTTGAGAATGTTTGTCCGTGGGCAAAACAGTAGAGGGAGTAGTCAACTTTGAGAATGTTTGTCCGTGGGCAAAACATTAAAGGGAGATAGTCAACTTTAAGAACGTTTGTCCGTGGGCAAAACAGTAGAGGGAGATAGTCAACTTTGAGAATGTTTGTCCGTGGGCAAAACAGTAGAGGGAGATAATAAATTTTGAGAATGTTTGTCCGTGGGCAAAACATTAAAGGGAGATAGTCAACTTTAAGAACGTTTGTCCGTGGGCAAAACAGTAGAGGGAGATAGTCAACTTTGAGAATGTTTGTCCGTGGGCAAAACAGTAGAGGGAGATAATAAACTTTGAGAATGTTTGTCTTTGGGCAAAACAGTAGAGGGGGGCAGTCAACTGGAAGAAGGTTTGTCTGTGGGCAAAACATTAGAGGGAGATAGTCAGCTTTAAGTATGTTTGTCTGTGGGCAAAACATTAGAGGAGATGATCAACTCAAGGTGGCCTACCGACTGCGGATTAAAGTCAAGTAGTGGAGTACCACTCTGGAACACAATTCGCTAGCCCGAGGATTAGAATGTCCTGGCGAGCATCCTTCCTACAATTTATTTGCTTGATCCCGTCCCCCGGGTCTCATAACGAAAAGACTTCACTTACAAAATCTTGATCCCCATTGCAGGTTACAACGTATATGGTAGCAGGGGATAGAAATGACCAAACAACACATCCCGCAATATTTTTCATGTAATTGAATTTCTCAAACGTACTTTTCTTTTCGAACGCATTTTCGGTGTGTGTTTAAAATTTTGCAAATTCAAAAAATCAGATATTACGTAAAAGAAAATGTTTTCAGTCCCAAATTAGTTGACAAATGACCAGCTGTGCTTGTGTGTTAATATTCTGACCATAGATTTACCAAAAGTCTCATATTTCTCAACACAGCGACAGATTTCTTATTATTTCTCATTATTCTCATAACGAAAACAGATTTCTATCCTAGAAGGACGAAACAGCTGTATGATGCAGTCGAATTCATTATTTGACTTCACCGTATCTAGGACTTTGTATTAAAAGTCTCTATTCATTTGCGTGTTCTTTGTACAGTCTGGTCTGTATCCTATCAGCTATTGTGTTACGGTTAATAGTATCTAAACATTCAAAACACATCCCATCTAACATTGCTGTAGAAAAATGTCCTCTAAAAATGGTTGTTTTATCTCATTTCGCCTAAAGAGCTGGTGGTTAATTAGTTTCAATGTGATTGCAGTGATTATTGAAAATAACAATCCGAACGGAGAACATACTCAATAATTCATCACGGAGATTCCTAGAAAGACAGTTTTTATTCTCTTAAAAGCCACTTTGTCTCAATGAAATATGGGTTAGCGTGTGTAAGAGGGACAGTGTCTCATGAACCCATTAGTCCTGCACTTTGTTGTGTAGTACGAGTTTTCACTTTACAAGTTAAATGGAGTGAATGGTTAGCAGTACACTTTGTACTGTACCACGAGTTACCACTTAACAAATTAACTGGAGTGATTGGTTAGCAGTACACTTTGTGGTGTACCACGAGTTACCACTTTACAAGTTAACTGGAGTGAATGGTTAGCAGTACACTTTGTGGTGTACCACGAGTTACCACTTTACAAGTTAACTGGAGTGAATGGTTAGCAGTACACTTTGTACTGTACCACGAGTTACCACTTTACAAGTTAACTGGAGTGAATGGTTAGCGGTACACTTTGTACTGAACCACGAGTTACCACTTAACAAGTTAACTGGAGTGAATGGTTAGCGGTACACTTTGTACTGTACCACGAGTTACCACTTTACAAGTTAACTGGAGTGAATGGTTAGCGGTACACTTTGTACTGAACCACGAGTTACCACTTAACGAGTTAACTGGAGTGAATGGTTAGCAGTACACTTTGTACTGTACCACGAGTTACCACTTTACAAGTTAACTGGAGTGAATGGTTAGCAGTACACTTTGTACTGAACCACGAGTTACCACTTTACAAGTTCACTGGAGTGATTGGTTAGCGGTAACACTTTGTGGTGTACCAGAGTTACCACTTTACAAGTTAACTGGAGTGAATGGTTAGCGGTATACCCTGTCCCTGAACCAGAATATATCATTATGTGCAGTGCACCATACGACTCCAGTAAAATTGACGCTAATTAAACGTGACGTGTCCCCAATAAACGAGCATTGTAAATGGATACGATGATAATCTATATCTGACCTATTGACACGTCGTGTAAAGATTTATAAATCCTTGCAGTCTCCAATTGTCACATCCATTTCCACTCGACACTGATTGTCAATAACTATTCTTACTTCCGTAGAAGATAGTATAATTTGATGCGTACCATACAGTGCCGAGATTTACACGGTGTCCATCTTATACCTCGATTCATCATTGACTGCTCTTTAATCAGGCTTCTGCGGGCCCAGACAACTTCTCCTGTCACGTGTCAATGGCATGAATTGTCAGCCGTTAAAACATGGATAGACTATTCATGTTGTCTATATTATTTGAAACAAATAAGTCTTAACAGGAAAAAAGACATGCCTGCTACAACACCTACCGACGACGAAGCCATTGTCTCCATTCCCGTTCAAAATTGTAATATATAAAATTAAAAAAAAAAAAAGACAGAAAAAAAAGCAGATTCGATGTTTTCAAATGTTTGGGTCGTAAAAAACCCGATATCCGTCGATAGTCATAATGCTACATCGAATGCAAGGCACACGTGGTAATACTCGCAGAATCTGACGATGGTAGCCTTTACATTTTTATCTGTTCCGTTTCTTATCGATCAGTGTTATAGTATGTCCCGTGCTTTTAACCGGAAATTAGGTCAACGGGAAATCAAAAGTGGTTTCGTTCTGGTTGGTTAAAATCTGCTTTTTCGAACAAATTCTGAATTAATGTATATGTTAGGGAAATTTATTTGAAGGGATATTTGTTCCACAAATCGATAGATCGGAAGTTCAAGCGAGCCAACTTTCAAGGCTATCACACATTTAGTTGAGATCTATTTCTTGGCGCGCCGAACTGCTCACACAACCATAAAACGACCGCTTGTCTCGCTATGAGAGAACATTTTAATATCAGGTCAGAAGTGTCTGATAGAACAACAAGGACATTGTCCACATCCATATCAAGTCAGTATGATAGGCCTGGAATGTACATCTATATCAGGTCAGTATGACAGGCCTGATATGTACAATCTATATCAGGTCAGTATGATAGGCCTGGTATGTACATCCATATCAGGTCAGTATGATAGGCATGGTATGAACATCTATATCAGGTCAGTATGATAGGCCTGGTATGGACATCCATATCAGGTCAGTATGATAGGCCTGGTATGTACATCCATATCAGGTCAGTATGATAGGCCTGGTATGTGTATCTATATAAGGTCAGTGTGATAGGCCTGGTATGTTTATCTACATCAGGTCAGTATGATAGGCCTGGTATGTGTATCTATATAAGGTCAGTGTGATAGGCCTAGTATGTTCATCTATATCAGGTCAGTATGATAGGCCTGGTATGTGTATCTATATCAGATCAGTGTGATAGGCCTGGTATGTGTATCTATATCAGGTCAGTATGATAGGCCTGGTATGTACATCCATATCAGGTCAGCATTGTTCGATAGGACCAGATGCATAGTTCACATACCCGTAAGAGCCTCTGACTGCTTCGATATCGTCGCTTGACGGAATGGTAGTATGTCACGGTGACTAATTTGTCATTGTTCTGTGTGTTCATTTTCTACTGTGACGTGGTGACTAATTTGTCATTGTTCTATGTGTTCATTTTCTACTGTGACGTGGTGACTAATTTGTCATTGTTCTATGTGTTCAGTTCCTACTGTGACGTGGTGACTAATTTGTCATTGTTCTATGTGTTCAGTTCCTACTGTGAATTTGTCGTTCTATGTGTTCAGTTCCTACTAATTTGTCATTGTTCTATGTGTTCATTGTTCCAGTTCCTACTGTGACGTGGTGACTAATTTGTCATTGTTCTATGTGTTCATTTTCCTACTGTGACGTGGTGACTATTCTGTGTTCATTTTCTGTGACGTGGTGACTATTTGTCATTGTTCTATGTGTTCAG